TCCCGTACAGGCCTGATTTTTTTCAGGTCTGATTTTCGCTATTGCTTAAATAGCGCTATCTACTGCGAGGATCGTGTATCATATGTATCTAATACCGCAGTACAAAATATATGAACTTCATATATTTCATTGTATCTCATTTATCACTTTCACGGGTTTATTACGAATCAACTTAACGGCCTGCTCCCAGTTGGCTTGTTAGCTCAATTGGTAGAGCGCTGCACTAGTATCGCAGAGGTCAGTGGTTCGAGTCCCGTACAGGCCTGATTTTTTTCAGGTCTGATTTTCGCTATTGCTTAAATAGCGCTATCTACTGCGAGGATCGTGTATCATATGTATCTAATACCGCAGTACAAAATATATGAACTTCATATATTTCATTGTATCTCAAACTCAGCTAAGTTGTCTGTGAACTCAATGGAGTTGTTTCACACCTGTCTTCACTACAGAAATTTGAGTTTTCAAGTAGCAAGACAGAAATCAATCTCACCTTTGAAATTAAAAAGCAGGACTTTCTTAGGTTTAACAGCTTTTCCACTGGCTGCCTGGTCACTAAAATGATATAAAATACTATAAAAAAATTTACAGAGAGAACAGAGAGAACTAAATCTGAGAAAACTGCTCTAAAAATATTAAATTTGTCTTTCATTAAAAAATGATAACTATAAAATAATGATAACACAGTTGACATACTCATCATCAGGCTGCTTGGGACCCACATATTGATCAGAAAATATCAGTGAGTCAAGCATTTCTTCACCACTGGAAATAGCTCTTGTGATCTATGACAAGAAACATCAAAAATATTTTAAAGAAAAATGAGTCTACATTTCTCAGGAGTATGAGACAAATGCAAGGCAGAATGTGAGTCCCCATCAGGAATCACACCTAAAAACTTTAAATTCTGCTGTCTAATCCTGGACTTCTGAGTTAAAGGGAATTTAGCAGTGAGATAGGTTGTATACTAAATTCACATATGGCATGCATGCTGCCTACATATTGCTAAGATATGCTGAGCTTTATCCATTGTTTAAAAGAGCTGGATGCAGGACTCTTGGCAAAGACTTTAGGCTACTACCTCTGCCTCATGTAAAAGAAACATCTCAAAATTATAGCAATCCCATATTTTAAGCTTAGAGTGAAAAAAAAAAGTTATACTTAATTTTTTTGTCATACCTGTGATGATAAAATGGCACTGGCTGCTTCAGCTGACTCAGTTAACACAACAAATGAGCCAGGTAAATCATATTTAGGTCCAGCACGTTTATCAGGACAGAAGAAGGTCTACATAAAGAAGGCAGTGTTACCAAATATATCACCAGACACTTGTTATGACCACAAATTTATCATAGCAAGTGAATCATGCCATTTTTTTTTCTTACCAAATCTTGGAGCTCCTTTTGCATTTTAGCAGCAGTCTTCTTTGGTAGGACAGCAAGAACAAAGTTGTCCATTTCTTCATCTGTCATATGCACTGTAACTGTCTAAACAAAACACAAAGAACAAATTGAGGACTTGAGCTCTTTGCTGTCAAAAACATTTAGAAAATGAGCAACACAGATTATAGTGAAAACAAACAAATGAAACGTAACAAGACAAGCTAAAAAGTTACCACAGTATCTCTGGCTGGTTTGACTAGATATGACATCACACTGACAAGGTCATGACGCTTCTGTAACTGAAATAGAAAGATAAAGACCAGTGAGTAACTGTGCCATGGTACATACCTCTTCAGATAACCTTTTTAAATTCAATGTTACGAGCTGCATCTGATTTGATCAACTTGGAAAAAAATGTGGCGACTAAATTTGCCCTGAAATCACCATTTTGCAATCTATGTTTAGTGGTCATTTAGCATGTTGTGAAATTTTTCTAACTCAGCATTTATGTTCCAAATTTGCCAGTTTTTTTTATTCCAGCCACAAAATTAAATTGCCACAACCATTTCAATATTTAAAGTCACAAAATGATGACAATGTAAAATTATGTCATTGAAGCAATGGCAAAGTTACTGGGCTAGGTTTCTGCTTTACCTTAATTTCAACCAGTAATCCATCACAGCCTACTCTCCCTGTACACCATAATGTGTACAGGCTCTCACTCTCCTTCACCAATATACCTTGTTGAGGTTCCTCACTGGAACCATCATCCCCTGGTAATCACAAATAAAACAATATTCAAATCAAAGAAACCATACAAAGCAATAATGTTAATAAAAAAAAAATTATAATAATTCACAGATGATATGAACATTATCCCTTTACCCCCTAAGAGTGATTGGTATCTTATTTCTCCTTATGGGATGATCTCTGAATCAAGAATTACTGTCATTAGAACAAAGGAAATGATCATCCATAACAACTCTTGATTGTTAAACAAATTCTCCTTATCAGCACCTTAGGAAAGGTATAAAGAACAGAATATGCATACTGATGTTAGGCTGTAAAGGGTTTACAATTCCGTGTCACAGAAGGTCTTTTCATCAGTAGATCACAGAAATCGGTAAAACTGTGCTCAGAACATCAATGAGCCACTTTGTTGTTTTTACCGCATTTTGACATCATCTGTGGTCTAGTACTGAACAAACACACAGTGATATAGAATCTATTTGTTTAACTTACCCACTACACTGAAATTACTCTCCAAAAGTTCTTTGTTAGATTTTAACCTAGGAATTGAATTTAAGGAAAACAATCTCATGATGCAAGTTGAATGGGGAACTATACATGAAACATGAAACAAACACTTAAACCTTTAATTCTCAAGATCTGCTCATTAATTCTCCCCTCTTGCTGCTTAACATTTCCTTCTAAATTAGTTACCGTTTGATCAAGATCTAAACTTCTACCTGCGGAGTTTGAATATTCTCATCACCAATTTGCTGGATCATATAGGGATATTGTAGTGAGAAATGATTAATTCTGGGTCTACATCAATTTTGAGCACAGAAAAAAAAAATAATCAGATTTTGTTTTTGTTCTGAGCTGTTCAGTCATTTCATAAACACACCAACACATTACCATGCAGTTGCTAGCCTCGAGTTTTTACTGCGTCCAGCAAAGAAATTAAGTGCATACGCTGCAAGCCCAGCCAACGTTAGAATTTCAGCATAAAATCCCTCCCAGTTTGCTCTTAAATGAACAGGAATCTGAAATGGAAACAATAATGTAAAAAAGTAAATGTCTTTGCAAGAGACAGATAAACACATTTGAAATTATCTTACATATAAGAACAGGAATCTACAATAGAAACCTCAATGTCAGAAAGGTAAATGTCTTTGCAAGAGACAGATAAACATGCTTGATTATCTCGTATGACACATACCTTCTTTATCTTTAAATCAGGTTGAGGACCTGATTTTCCTTTTGGTATTTTTTCTTTATTATATCCCTGGATAGGGAAAAGAAAAGTACATTATCAGTAACCTTGTCTGTATCATGGCAATTCAAACAATCAGCTTACACTTTATCCCTAAGCATGAGTGACCAAGACAGAATCTATCCTAACAACACCAATACTATATCAACTAGATACGTAACAAAGAAAGAAAAATTATATCTATTAAGGGATTAGTTGATCCAATAACATACATTCTGTAGTACTATCTATCTATCTATCTATCTATCTATCTCAGGAGTGAAAGAGTCAATAGAAAGCAAAACAATAGTTAACAAGTATCTAAACAACCAAGGCCCAAAAACTAAATTTAAATAAAGACATGTTTTCATTACCTCAAATTCTTCTTCATCAGTAAAGTGATCAAATTCTTCCTGTTCCTCCTCTGGCTGAAAAAGATAAAAAATTTATTCATTACTAATATGAAATTGCAAACCCAAGCACTGTAAATATTTGTTTATTCAAATTCAAGTAAATAAATAATATTCTTTACAAACAACTATAAATAAAAAAAGTTTACTTAATGAAACTCTTTTGAACTCTATCAAAATTCTCAAACTGAAAGAATTGTTCACATGTGAAAATTAATGATAATTAATTTTCCGGTTAGCTCAATGGATAGCTTAATTTCCCTTAGCTTAATAGCTTAATTTTAGCTTAATTTCCCGGTTAGCTCAATGGATAGAGTGCTGGACTGTTGTGCGGGAGGTCCTNCTCAGGGTCTTAAAATAATTGAGAAGAATTTGCTACCTTTCTATAACATCAAGAAATGGTTAGATAATCTAGTCTTCTCGGATAGGAATGAATAAATGGAGGTCCCGTCTCCTGCAGGGTTGGGGTAGGAGACGTTAATTTCCCACACACGAGATTACTGTGTGATGGATGTCCTCCCCTGGGGTGGGATGGATGGGAGGGTGGACTAGCACAACTGGTTCCTATGTTCCTTTCTAGTCCTTCCCCACTGCAAATAATGCTGTGAAAATAAACTAAACTAAAATTAAATTAGAACATAACCAAAGTAAAGTTTGAGCTCAATTCAGTGTCCATCATTTGCCCATGGATTTATGCTGCTGATGTTCGCAAATGCAAAGACTAGTTTCTGCATGCTTGTTTTTTCTGGTCACATAAGATCTCGGTGTTAATAAAAGGGAAGTCTTTGGCTACAATGTATCAATGTTATGTTGTAAAACAAATGGTCAACACCACAACGTACACCACTCAGTCATGGATGCACTTGGGAAGTTTGCTAAGTACTCAAGGAGCTAAAGTCACTCTCAGCTGTCGCCTTGTGTGACTCTTATGCTCACTTTTTTAGCTTAGCAACCTCCCTCCAATAATGTGTGCTGTGGTCTTAACCAGTTGTTAACCATAGTAATGTCAACACTAAAACCTTGTAATGGGAGGAAACTATCGAGATGTGATCATGTCTCAATGTTTCAGCTGTTTACCTCTTCAACATTTGCCTCTGACTCATCTGTTTCCTCTGTAACATCAGCTAAGTAGATTGCAACAAAAATAGCGAGATTTGTTAAGTTAAAGTATTCTTTATTTTACTTAACATTCCCATATTTTCTTTGTTCACTGTATTATGCACCGTGCCAAGGCAGGTTCTTGTCTTGATCACGTGAAAATTTATCAGCTGACAGAAATGTATCTGGCAAAGAATTTATCGTGGTTGTTAAATGGAGATGACATAAAAGTTTGAAGTAGTCCTATAATAAAGAGAAACATGAAAAGACGACGGCCAAAATTTCATTTCAATGTTGGAGAAAGATATAGCGTGACATACACACGTGCTAGCCAGTGTTCCAAAAAACCAAAGTAGTTGGTGATTGTCCTTAAAGTGAAAACTATAGACTTTAAATCTGGTTAAATCGAAAGTATGTTATTACCTGAAAAAAAAATCATTTATCCACATCACCCTATCCAGGAATTAAAAAATGTTACATAATACGTTTTAAAATTCTTCAAACCTTCTTCTTCATCTTCATCTTCATCTTGATCGCCTGTTCCATGCACCTCTGTTTCTTCTTCATCTTCTTCGTCCCCTTCCGTTTCAAATTCAGCAAAATCGTTACTATTGTCATCTGGTTCGTCAGTAGCAGTGATATACGTCAGAAATCCAACAAGCAACAAGAAAATCATGATCAATAAAGGCCTGAAAGGCTTGAAGTACGAACGGACAGACGCCATTTTGTTACTAAATTAGAAGAGATTCCCAGAGTTCCATTCATGCGATTGAACAAAGCCTGCAATAGTTTCTGGGTAGCAGGGGCCATATTGATTCGTGCAGTTATCGAATGAAATTTAATAATTCTTCAACGGAAGAGTAAAAATGGGAAGCGAAGTCAAGATGGAGACTGATATGGATAAAACAGGCAGCAAGGCAGCGTCGCGAGAAGAGAGAGAAAACACGGAAAAAGACCGTGACAAAGACAGAGACAGACATCGGCATAAAGATAGAAACCGCGACAAGGAATCAGACAGAGAACATAAAAGAGAAAAGGACAAGCATCGTGATAGAGACAAACGTGATAAGGACAGAGACCGGAAGAGAGACAAAGACAGGGACAGAAAACATCGGAAAAGATCAAGGTACACTAAGGAAAGTCACTAGTGGTGTGTAAAGCCATGTTGCATGCAGAACTGGAGGCTGAAAGCCCGGATGCGATGCAATTTTGTTTTGAGATAAAATAACTCGATATTTCAGCAACAGTTTTGCATGTTACACAGTTTGGGGTCCAAGACTCATGCACATCAGGGTTAACCCTAGGAGCTCTTGAGAGTGACTAACATCTAATTTCTCCTTGTAATATCACACCCCAAATCACGCATAAATGCTGTGAGAATAAAGGTAATGGTTGCCAATTAAAGAAGGTCGTGATTGTTAAATTCTCCTTGTCAGCACCCTAGGGAATGTGTAGAGAACAGTATGGAGAATATGTATACTGATGGTAGGGTGTAAAAGGTTAAATTGGGGGGTATGGGGTATTAATTGTGGTCACAGAGTACTGCTTGTCCAATTGGACAAGGTAACAATTGTTGCAACTCAGGGATATTAACCGTCAATTGGTACAAAATATCCATATGCCGTCCAAAGCTCATTTGGTCAATATTTAGTTCTTATTAAATGAGCGGGAGGTCTGTATGGGAAAATCTTGACCGAGGTCGTCAGTACAGACCAAACGCAGTGAGGTCTGTACCAGCGACCGAGGTCAAAATTCTCCCATACAGACCAACCTAGCTTGGTTAATAAGATGTTTATTATATGGCTGTGTCTTATATACCAATTTTTTATATTCTTTGTACCTTTTTTTTCCAGACCGGGCAAGATGCCGGTCTAGATGGGAAAATCTAGACTGCTTTCAATATTGATTTCAGCCAATCAAATTTGTGAATTCAGTACTTCCGGGTCCTTGTGAGACACAGCCATATAATAATTTGCCATATCAGAGGCTATAGATATTTTTAGCAGGCTGAAGATATTTGCATCACCTATAGACCTCAGTACTTTTTTGTTCCAGATCAAGGTCGCCTCAAAGATCCAAAGATGGCAAGAAGTCAAAGTAAGTTCTGTTTATAAAGGAAAGTTTCAGAACATTTTTTACCTATTGTCAAACCACTGGTCAAGTGAGTTAATGAAATGTTTACTGTACTATTTATCAGACCAGATGACAACAAAAATGGTGTAGAAGAACAAGAGGATGAGCAAATGAAACCAAAAGTTGAGGTGATTAGTCTGCTTGTTATCAAGTTCAAAAATTTTAGTTTGGTTTTATTAACTGATTTGATTATGGGATTTGGTCATGTGATTTGGTGACTGTAGAGAGTTTCTGAAGCTGAAGTTTGCAGCATTAGCCCTTTATCCTTTGCTCTAACCAAGGACTAAAGCTCCAAATGTCACAAACACGGAAACTCTTTATGTTGACCAATGCTTACATTATTATGCATTATGGCAGAAAATAGTGTAAGGTACAGAGGACCCATTGTTTGGAATTTAATCCCTAAAGCCATCAAGTTTGCTTCCTCCCATCAAATTTTTAAACAAAAACTTAGACAGGCCTGGAAGATAATAGACCAAATTCAATTTGAGAAAAGAGGCCTGTATGGTAACAACAAAACAATCAGATTTCTTATACTTTTAGTTTTTATTTTTAGAAATTTCATCAATTAGATTTAAGGTTTTTTTATTTAAGATTGTGCATAAATATGGATTTTGATCGAGTTACTGGCAGGTCCACACCAGCCTTTAGGTTGCCGCAAAGCAACCTGCCTTATCAAAAAGTATATGTATGTATGTATGTATGTATGTAACTCAATTGATAAAACCAACTTATCTTGTTATTTTCTGCTATGACTCTTTCTGCTTATAAACTGGTTGAACCAGGTAATGTCATGAAAAAAATGGCTAGCAAGTACAGCTGTAGAAAGGAAAAAAGAAGAAAGAGGCATTCATATGAGAAAATTTTTTTTGACAGAGTTACAGTTGATTTAGAGAACAATTGGCTCCGGGTCACAGAGTGCAAACCTCTCTGCCTCATTGCCTTGAAATTAATATTTCCCCAGTTTGCTTTCCTACTCATTTAATAAGTTCATGATATGAAATGGTATCCAAAAAAAAAAAAAAAAAAAAAACAGCTAACACTATATACATAATATTCTTATAGATAAACACTTCATGTAGCATATTTGGAGCGGTTTAGAATATTATGTACTGAACATTGTACAGTGGAACCTCGATTTAATGAAGTGCCAAGGGACTGGGAAAATTGGTTCATATCAAGGGTTCACCATGTCGAGGTTCTGTGGTTTACATTTTCCTGTAACTTGAGCCAGACTGAAATTGAAGTATTGTTCATTATACCGAGGACTTCATTATATAGAGAGGTTCATTATATAGAGAGGTTCATTAAATCAAGGTTCCACTGTAGTTGTTGATTGGTGTGTTGTGGTGATATGTTTGATTACCTTGTATAACATAATTGTTTTATTCTTTTACTAGCCATTATCTCTGGAGGAAATGATTGCAAGAAGAGAGGCTGAGAAAAAGGCACAAGAAAAGGTCTGCACAGCACAGGGACCACACAGCTAATTGTTTGGGGTTCCTGTGGACTTCCACTGCTAGAAAATTTTGTTCTAATTCTTTTTTCAGGTTTATGTGTTGTTTCATTAACATGTCTGAAGCTTTTAACCTGCTGTTTTATCACAGCCAACATTTTTGACCAAAGAACAAAGAGCCATGGAGGCATTGAAAAGAAGACAACAGCAAGTGGAAGAGCAGCGGAAAAAGACTGAGGTATTAAAGAAAGAAATTTATTCTACAGATCTGCGTTGAGAGAGGAAGAAAAGAACCTCATTTTGTACATGTTTTAACACTTTTGAGCAGACAGTCATTGCCAATAATTATTCTGGATGTTAATATAATGCTTTATCCTATAGGGGGAGCGGCAAATGAGGGAGAAGTTTTTGAGAGAGGCACAGTATTCTAGAGGTTTGTCAACTTGTTTGTCTGCCTCATCTCATCTTTAATAGAGTTTCCACGCTGAAGATTCCTGAAAATTTTTTTATTTTTGACCAGAGGATGAAGTGGAAAGAGAAAGAAGAGAAAGGAGGGAAAGAAGAGAAAAGAACTTGACTGAAGAGGAGGTAAGAACTGTGTTTGTTAAAAGAATGATTTCATGATTGGTTTTTAAATTTTAATATAGTGTTTAGTACCATGCCTCAGTTAGTCACTAAGAGCTACAATACAGAGCATAGAATTTGTCATACTTTGATTTTAGGTGATGTATCCAATTAGTTAAACTTCTAGTTATTTGGCATTGATTTTTTATGACATTTTTTTGGCTGCCTTGTGTAGGCTGAGAGTGAGAAAGCAAAGGCACGAAAGGTATGATACAGACATATGCAGTAAAATGTAGTAGGAGTCAACCTTTGCTGTACAGATCCACTGTACAGATCCACTGTACAGATCCACTGTACAGATCCACTGTACAGATCCGCTGTACAGATCCACTGTACAGATCCACTATTCAGATCCATTGTACAGATCCACTATACAGATTCACTATACAGATCCACTCTACAGATCCACTCTACAGATCCACTCTACAGATCCACTCTACAGATCCATTGTACGGATCCAATATTTAGATCCACTGTACAGATCCACTGTACATATTCACTGTTCTGATCCACTGTACATGGTTTATGATCTTCTTATGAATTCTTCTAATTTGACACCACCGAACTATTAGACTCATAAAAGCCAGGCCTTTAAATTTTATGTGGTCCATGGAACAGATTTTTTTCAGACTATTAGGATTTGAATGTTGATCTTAAGTGGCTGTAACCCCAAAAAATTTTTTTGGCCAAATTAAATCTCTCTATTGGTGTGAGCAAAATGCCGCAAAAATTGTGTTTGGTTAAAACCGTGATTTTTTATGATTTTCCAAAGTCGAGTTTAGTTTTTGAACGACCAGGTGAGCCAGAGACTGGGGCCAGTGACGTCATTCCAGGCCATCGGCAGTGGGGCTCTGATCCAATCTCAGTCAATATTATAGGTTCCCAACGAGATGAAACCTTCGTTAAAGCCTGATCTGGTAAATTTTTCTCACCTTTCTCTTACTTCGCTCACTTTTAGCTGATTTTGTTTCCTCCGACATTCCACGCGTGATCAGTCGGAAAGACGCAAATTCCAACGCCATCTTTTTGCAACCTTCGTTGCATAGTCTTGCTAGTCAGAGCAGAAAACATGACTGAATAATCTCCTTCTCGGAAGTGGTTGGAACACATGGCCGAGTATTTTGTGGGCTTCCAATGTGCATGCTTCAATTGCACAAAGTCAACCCACTTCTTCCTTCTCTTTTTTTCTCTGGGTCATCTGCCCCATAAAAAGGTATCGGATGAAGTGCTATTCTTTTTTCTTTGTTGGGAGTGTTACTACACTTGAAAACAATGCACTTATCAGGCATATCCGGCACGATACTTCATCCAGTGCTTGAAGCAAACTCATTGGAAAGCCTGGAATGACATCACAAACTGTGCTTGACCCAGACCCATCTTGATAATTCCGTGTCTAGGTCGTGTTTTGAAAAAATGTGATTTTCCACGACTTTGAAAATTCATAAAAAATCGGGATTTAACTAAACACAAAAATTTTTGCAGCATTTTGCTCAGTGCAATAGAGAGATTTAATATGGTCAAAAAAATTTTTGGGGGTTATAGGCACTAAGGTTTCACATGAGTTGTGCAAGGCAGCATTGTAGCTTTCAAACCAATCATAAATTTGTCCATCAGCAGCAATCACTAGCACACTTATCAGAAGTTGACTTTCCATGCAGAGATTGACTGCTCATTTTACACTTTTCCACAGGAAAAAGACCAGGAGAAAGAAATTCAAGCAATCAAGGTAATCCTGTATTTGTTGATGGATGAGAAAAACTGTCACAAGTTGTAGTACTCAGTGACGTAAAGGTAACTTTGTTCATTGTGATTAGCTGTCAGTAGTATTTGATTAAAATTTTAGCAACGATACCTTGGTGGAGTGAAAAAGAGGAAGAAGATACGTCGTCTTGCAGACAGAAAGTTTGTGTTTGAATGGGACACGGGAGAAGATACTGCAGTGGATTATAACCCAATGTAAGTATCCTCACTAATAAAGCGCATAAACTAATTGATCCATGCAAAACAAAAACTAATGCCTTGCAAGTAATGAACTCATTTCAATAACTGTTTTTCTTTCATAGCTACACTGATAGACATCAAATTCAACTTTTTGGAAGAGGACACATTGGTGGAATTGACATAAAGGTAACACACATCCTGCAAAAGATATTTAGATCATAGTGCACAGAGCTCAAACTTGGCCAACAGCTGTCTTTTTTCATAAACCAGACATATTCTCACCATATTTTTCCTCTCTACACATTTGATTTCAGAATAATTGTGTAACAACATCAAGTTAATAATTTAGGGTAGTACAGACTTTCATGGGGATGTTTTTAAAAGGATCATTGTACAAAAAAAAAACTTTGAACTCTTTAACCCCTAAGAGTGTGTGGTTTCTATTTGTCCCTACAGTATCACCTTTTAATCAGTCTTTAATCAAATGTAAAGCTCACAAGAATAAAGAAAGTGATCACCACTTTAAAAGAAGCTCCTGATAATCAAACAAATCCTTCTTGTCAAATCCTTCCTTCTTGAATATGATTGCTAATGTTAGTGTGGAAAGTGTGGAGAATATGATTGCTAATGTTAGTGTGGAAAGTGTGGAGAATATGATTGCTAATGTTAGTGTGGAAAGTGCTACAAGTGAGTTACAAGCATGGGTATGGGTTGTAAACCGTTATTGAAATAGAGGATATTACATGGCCGCACAGGGATACGAATTTTATCTTGTTGTGCTGTAAGTATCTCTGATGAGTGAGTAAAGCAAACCACTGAGAGATACTTGCAGGACTTGAAGATAACATTCGTATCCCCAAGTGGCTACGTAATGTTCTGTTTATTTTATAGATACTGATGAAATTTCCACATAAAACACAACTTTTTTGAAGAACAGGCCACGCACCTGAGCCATAAGCTCTTGTAACTGCCTAATCATGTTAATAACCATGGCCACACCAATATCCTCTTAGGTGAAAGATAAAAATAGTATTATCACTGTGCACGATGAAGATATGATTTTTTAGTGAAAGTAAAAATCCTGGTATTTCATCAGTATCTCTATGATAAACTTAAATACTGCAATTTAAGATTATTTCATAGCTAATATGTACATGATTCCAAAACACAGTGGCAGAAGAAAGAAACGGGGAAGTTTTACCAGGAAATGTTGGAGAAAAGACGAACTCAGGAGGAGAAAAACCAAGAAGCGTAAGTAACAAAACAAACTATTCCATGCATTGTCCTTTTTGTGTTTTGTGTATTTGGATACTGCTTCTCTCTCCCAACACTGCCATTAGCTTTAACACACTTTGAGTTGATTTTTCCAGGTAACTTTTGTACTAACACTCAAAATTAGCTGACTGGCCTTTTTTTTTTTACAAACAGAGTAACATTCCTCGGATATTTTAAATGTTCATGGCGGTGTTAATTTTTGTCAGGTTGTTAGGTCTACATAGCTCTTCTCATCAGCCAGTAGTTTGTGGAGATTTTTTTTAAAAAAACATTAAGAACAAATCCAATGAAATCACATTAATCAGCTTGTCATGTTGATTGTTCAGGCTCCTCTTTCTCTCTTCTCTGCCGCACGTGCATTAGTGATGTACTTCTCTGCCGCACGTGCATTAGTGATGTACTTCTCTGCCGCACGTGCATTAGTGATGTACTTCTCTGCCGCACATGCATTAGTGATGTACTTTGATTTTCGATTTCAGGTCACGAATTAAGAAGCAGCGTGATCTGGAAAAACAGCGTGCTTACGATGATCGTCACTGGAGCAAAAAGTCATTGGAGGAGATGGGTGAAAGAGATTGGAGAATTTTGCGGGAGGACTTCACAATTTCAACAAAAGGTAGGACACTTTTATCTCTGTTTGTTTTGACTGAAGCTTGATAACAGAACTGAACCACTAGGCCCTCCTCATGTTTTCCAGGTTAGACAACAGAAATCCTACTAATAATAAGTGATATGTTTCATTTTGTTTTTTATGTATCAGGTGGTAAGATACCTCATCCACTCAGATCATGGACGGAAAGCTCTCTTCCTAAAGACATTTTGGATATAGTGGACAAACTGGGATACGAGGTAACCACAGGCAGCCCAATCTGATGTGCACGTTGTGAGAAGTATATTCAGGTTTCAATAATGTTGGTGATTACTGTTCTTCTTAGATCTTGTTGTTTTTTCCTGAAAAAAAATAGTTAAAAACCAGTAAATGTTAGTTATGTAAAGTTATGTTGTTTCTTTCAAGGAACCAACACCAATCCAGCGACAAGCCATTCCTATTGGTCTTCAGAACAGAGATATTATAGGAGTGGCAGAGACAGGTCTGGTCATCGCAAAATCATAGAATTTCAGTTTGTATCTATCTTGGATTGAGGTATTATGTTTCTGTAACAAAATGTGATTTTTTCCTGCATGCAAAATGTTGGATCAAAAGAAATAAGCTTACAATTCTAAACGTGGTGTAATCTCTCACTTGACTGTGTGTTTGTTTGTTCGGTTATCATATCCAAAGGTAGTGGAAAAACAGCAGCCTTTTTAATTCCATTGTTGGTTTGGATCATGGGTCTGCCCAAGATTGAAAGAGACATCGACGCAGACAAAGGACCTTACGCTTTGATCATGGCTCCAACCAGGGAATTAGCGCAACAGGTAAACAAACAGCAAATTATCAAAAACACGAACGGTAAGAGGTCAAAAGAACTGAAATTCAGCTTTAATGCAGTTTTGAACAACTGCCGACGCATTATATTCGTTTAACGCAGGCCAGCAGGTCGAGAATTTCGATCACTCGTATACAGGCTAACTTGTACGCATTACAATTCCCGACTTCTTGTACCGTAACCATTAGCGGGGAAAGATGACACAAAGATAAAAAGCGCTTCTCCCTGATGCCTACCGACACCTTTGCTTTGGAATTCGTCGTAGCATCTTCGGGAATCCGTCGGCGGTAATGTTCGGAAATTATTGGGTTGCATTCGTTATCGGAATCACGTTTCCTTGAGGAAAAGTTATAAGATGAAGTTTTATACTTCTTTAGATTTTGATTTTAATTTTATTGCGTGTTTTCTTTCAGATTGAAGATGATGCAGCAAAGTTTGGACGTCCACTTGGTGTTCGAACAGTTTCTGTGATTGGTGGGGTAAGAAAGCTATCATCAAACTAGACGTAGTCATTACAATTGCCTGTTTTACTCAACTGGTTATCAACTTGACTCGAGGTTAATAAAAGTACAGTAGAACCCCGTTAATACGACCACTAACGGGCCAAAATAAAGTGGTCGTATTAACGGGGTGGTCGTATTACCGGGGTAGGGTCATATTTCATAGCTAGCGTGTTGATGATGACGTGTATTTCAAGCGTATAAAAGTTTCACCTTCAAACAAGTGTTCTCAAGCATTTACATTGCATTCAAAAACTAAAATATAATTTAATTGAAACAGAACTATCTTGACAAAAGCTACTAAAACCAAACAAACGGAAACGAACTGCCGCACGTACTGTATTTACAAAACTAAGATGACGTGCACGGAGCGGAGCTTCAGTTTCATTTATAAAGATGGTTTTTGGAAAAAAAATGTAACTCTTGACTGGCTTGTCCCTCGCTCAAGCCCGTCACTTTGCTTTGTTTTTAATTATTGTAGAACAATATGACATGTAACAGACATTTACTCACGATTTATTTTTTATTGCCACTTATCGGTATCTGTATTGGTGGTCGTATTAACGAGGTTCAAAACAAAGAAATTTGCACGTTGGGAATTAAAGAGTGGTCGTTGGCCGCATTAACGGGATGTTTTTATAAGAAAATGTATGGAAATTTTGCCGGGCCAAAAAATAGTGGTCGTAATAACAAGGTGGTCGTATTAACGGGGTGGTCGTAAGGCGGGGTTCCACTGTAGATACCAAGGCATGAAAACCCCTACCTCCCCCAGCCTCTTGGTCCGCTGAAGGGAAAACGCTCTTGCCGTTGGGTTTTTTTATTATTATTATTTAATTTCCTATCGTGGTTTACCTATCTTGATCAGCTTCTAGTTCATTATCACTTGTCCTCCGACCCAGTGCAACAGTTTCTTAAGAAACGAGTTACTCTCTTAAGGTGTCTTCTATCATGACATGCTAAAAGTGTCCATTGACTTGCTATTTAGTCGTCAAAGTTCTCTAGATTATATTCAGTGGTCTCCGTTTTCCGTCTCAGTTGTCACGTGAAGATCAAGGATTCCAGTTGCGACTTGGATGCGAGGTAATCTTCAACTTATTTCAGAGTAATAAGCTGAGAAACCAATCTTTTAACATTAAGTTAGCACTTATTGATCTGATCACAGCGTGACAACTAAATCAGCAAAAGTTATTACAAACCGCCTCCCGGTTAGCTCAATTGCTAGAGCGCCGGACTGTTGTGCGGGAGGTCGTGAGTTCAAATCCGGCCGGACCAACCCTCAGGGTCTTTAATTAACTGAGAAGAAAGTGCTGCCTTTGTAATAATATCTGCAAATGGTTAGACTTTCTAGTCTTCTCGGATAGGGACGATAAATGGAGGTCCCGTCTCCTGCAGGGTTGGGGTAGGAGACGTTAATTTCCCACACACGAGATTACTGTGTGATGGATGTCCTCCCTGGGGTGGGATGGGTGGGTAAAAAAAGGGGTTAGGTGTCAATTGGAACGAAAGTTCTGTTCCTTTCTCCTGCCATTCCTGTGGCGAATCAATTAAACTTAAAATTAAACTTAAACAAACCAGTCTAGATAAATCGTTGTGAGACAGAATGACTTATGGGTTACAACTTATCTTTTTCTTCTTCTTGTGACTCTTCTTTTATTTTTCATATTTTTATTTTTTCAGATTGTTATTGCCACTCCCGGCCGTTTGATCGATGTTCTTGGTAAATGTTTTCTTGCAGTTTCCCTTTGATTTTATGTTTTTGTCTCGTTCTAACAGGTTACCAGCTAACCCGATTGTTTCTTCCTTCGACAGAAAATCGTTACCTGGTACTCAGCCGCTGTTCATACATCGTTCTTGATGAGGTTTGTGTCGAGATATTATTCTCCATATTGTTCATACTGTTGGTGATCATTTCCTTGATTCTCCTGACCCTGATGTGTAATTCAGAGATTAAAGTGTAAGGAGAGATTAGATGCTGGTCACTCATGGGTCACAGAGTTAACAACAAAGAGAGATTATCATGTTTCTGAAGTGTACACAAAAGTTGTACCGGGAATTCGTAGCATTGATTAACTGCTGTTCTAACCAGGGAATGGAAGGAACAAAGCCGATGATTAGAGCTGTAGGAAATCACAAGTTAAATTTATTAAACAAAATGTTAACGACCTAAAATTTGATCGTTTTGTTTGAATTTCTTGATTGAGCCCGAGTAAAACTTAACTTCATCTGTATGATTACAGGCAGATCGTATGATCGACATGGGTTTTGAGCCAGAGGTTCAGAAAATCTTGGAACACTTACCAGTGAGCAACGTCAAACCTGATACTGAAGACGCTGAGGATCCAGAGAAGCTATTGTCCTACATGGGAAAGGATCGCTTTAGACAGGTTGCTGCCTACATCAGATATTTTCGTGAAAATATCAACGGATTGTACTAACGTAAAATAATTTCCTGGAATGACAATTTAAAATCAAGAATAATTTTCCCGTGAAGGTGGTCATCCTAATAGAAATGTACTATATGAATGAGACAATATCTCGACTTTTAACGTGATCAATGTGTTTTACTTCAGTGTTTGCTTGCATCGCTGTCAGTATTGATTTGGTCGTAATTGTTGTTGTTGTTGTTGCTTGTGTCAGACGGTAATGTTTACAGCAACAATGCCTCCTCAAGTGGAACGAATGGCGAGGAACTATCTTCGGTAAGTGACTCAATTCATGCACACTTAATAGAGCTGGTTCCGTCACATTTCAGACGGGTCTGTGAGCTATCGAACGGTGGAATGACTTTTTCTGAAGGAATTTGGACGGATCCGTCTAATTACAAACGGCTCTGTCCGATTTCTAACACTTACGTCCGATTTCGGACATTTCAGACGTTTCCGTTTGATTTCGTTTGCTTGGGTATGAACGCTTCCGACAGGTCAGTCTGATCGTGGACTTTTCCTTCCGATTACAACGGTTAACAGTGACTCCATTACTGAGAAGAATGTTTCCTTTTCAGACGGCCTGCTGTGGTTTACATAGGCTCTATAGGTAACTATCATTTCATTGTTGGTTAGTCTTTTGAACTCTTTTTCTTTCCTTTTCGTTTTTTATCCAAACTTGTGAGACTGAGTACCGCGGGAACGTTTTCTTCAATTTATTGTACCGTTCCACGCATTTTCTGTGTCAATTCTTCGCAGGAAAACCAGTCGAGAGAGTAGAGCAGAAGGTTTACCTGCTTAAAGAAGCTCAAAAACGGTTTGTCAGCAAGATTTTATATAATATTTGTAGTTCGCTTAAGATTTTTCTGGCGTCCTTCATGATTCAGTGGTTAAAGATATTTACTGATCAAGCTAATTATTCAATTGCTATCTGAGTATTTCTGCATCTTAGTTTTAAGTAATTGCAAGGTTTGGTACCGAGAAGTAAGTGTAGTCGAGCTCGTGTGCCATATATTTCATCTGCAACCTTCATTGCTGGAGTGACTTTTTTTTTTTAATTTTTTTTATTACAGTTTCTCCAAATCTAAATTACTAAATAAATAATTAATAATAAATAAATAAAAACTAATAATAATAATAATAATAATAATAATAATAATGATGATGATGATGATGGAAAGGCAGCATCCAAAAGCGTTCTAGACACCATACGAGGGATGCTCCCCCGTAAGCTAACAAAATATATTTATAATATTAAGAAACAATTATCAGAGTATAAGATTTGATATAAAAATATTAGATTGATTTAAATCTGAAATACTAAGTATTACCAAAAACTGAAGTAACTTTATGTTTAAGGCTAGAAATACGGACAGAATACTTTATATTATTAGGAAGACTATTCCATTTATTAATAATACGGATAAAGAAGTTATATTTAAAAATATTTGTTCTATAAACATGCTGACCAGGTCAAGAGAATCATTCTTCCTTAAATTATAATCCACACTACGATCTTTACGGAACAACAACTTATCAGAAATATCCATATCATAATGCCCATTCATTAAATTAAATAAAAAAAAACAACATCCCTGTTGTATCTTCCATGAAATAAACTTTGTAATTTTAATTTCTTTAATCTAATATCATAATCCTCATCAGATTTAAGAATAAACTTAGTTGCCCCTCTATATTGCCTCTATTTTATTAATATTACGTTGTGTTACTGTGGTTATCAAGTTGAAAGTGAATAAAAATGTCAACAACATTTGTTAAATAAGTGATCTTTGATAAAAGGAATGTAAGAAATAAGGGGACCATTAGAAACGTTCAGTGTATGATGCTGTGATTGAGCAAATTTTTGTATGATTTGTTTTCTAGAGAATAATTTTTCATGATTTTCATTTTTAAACAGGACGAAGCTGTTAGAGATTTTGAACGGTGGTATCGATCCTCCCATAATAATTTTTGTGAACCAAAAGAAGGTATCATTTTCTCTACTCATTACTGCACACGATTCCAGATTACTATTTTATTTCCTGTCTAATTGCAAGTTATAACTTCATGCTTTACATCAGTAAGTTTGCAAACATGCTGAAGTCTTAGTATACTGCAAACGCAAACATATTATTAAATTAAACATATTAAATTAATTAATTATTAATTAATAAATTAATTAATTAATTAATTAATTAATTATTAAATTAAACATATTATTAAATATTATTAAGTTTGCAAACATGCTGAAGTCTTAGTATACTGCAAACGCAAACATATTATTAAATTAAGTTTCCACCCCCATGTTTTGTCATGATGTTACACCGATAAGTTTACGTTAAATGTTTAAAAAGAATTGTGGTCCATGGTTATTAATTCCTATTTCTTATTCCAGGGAGCAGATGTGCTGGCAAAGTCTTTGGAGAAAATGGGCGTAAGTCCATCTTAGTTATTATCTCATTGGTTACCAGTGGATGTTTGTTAATTTGTTTATCTCTTTCTCTGATGGATTCTTTGCATGATTGTTTTTCTTTGTTTGTTGTTTTGTTTGTTGTTTCCTTTTTGTTTATTGGATCGTTAGTCGGTTTGTTAGTTTGTATTTCTGTTTGTTTGTATATTTCTGACCTGGCTTATTCTTTACAGTTCCGTGCCACAACTCTTCATGGTGGGCGAAACCAGGAACAGAGGCAAGTCCATTCCATTCCCCTGATAAACATTTTAATTTTTTAATTCCGCGACTCATTTCTTCCAGAACCAGTTGTAAAAACGTGTTTTTTACATCAGGCAGTATTTCAATCCGAGTGTCTTTTTAGTTGCTCTTTTAAATATTCTCTTTGCGTGCATATAAATAGTCAAAAGGTACTTGCTGTTGGTCAGTGGTTGGAGTTCGTTGTATACACCAGCACAAAAGGCCCCTTTGCAAAAGATTTTCGGGAATCATGATATTTGATTTCTTTTCAGAGAGTTTGCTTTGTCGAGTCTCAAATCTGGTGCGAAAGACATTCTTGTCGCCACTGATGTAGCAGGGCGTGGTATTGATATCAAGTACGTGTTCACCATGTTATCATTATCAGCCTCTCTTTGTTTTATCATTTACCTTATTGTTCTACAGTCTCAACCGTAATTTTTTTGTGTGTCTAGGGATGTCTCTCTTGTTCTTAACTACGATATGGCCAAGTCAATAGAAGGTTGGTGACTATCTTAATAAATAACGACACCGGTCCCCAAACATTCTTCTTTGCCGTGAATTATATTTGCGCTTATGTTTTAGAATTATCTCTGAAGTTTTTTTTTTTCTGTAACGATGTTTGATTTAAAAGAACTCGATTTTCATTGCTGAATGAGCGCATTTTTCGTTCCACATAGTCACATGTCCTTTTTCCTGTTTTATGCTAATGTAATGGGGAAAAAAACGGAGCAATTTTCTGCAAGTAGTCATGAAGTTGCTTAATTTGTTCCAGGCTACACTCATCGTATTGGTAGAACTGGTCGCGCTGGAAAGACTGGTATCTCCGTCACGTTTCTGACCCAGGAAGACTCGGCCGTGTTTTATGACCTTAAGCAGACTCTGTTGGCCAGTCCGGTAAGTAAATTCCCAACTAGCAGCTAGAAAAGGCTGCGATTGGGAAAGGAATAAGGGACACCGATTGGAAAATTCTCAGATTCAATTTTCCAATGCTGATTTGAAATAGGAAAACCCATTTCATTAAAGGAGGGGTAAGGTTACGCATCAGACTGTCAAAACGTGGTCACTACTACATTTTCATTCGTAGTTTTTACAGGCAAAGATAGACGTAGTTTTCGGAACATCATACTTCTCAACCCAGGGATACTTCACCTTACAGCATTGACAGACTACCACTGTTTTGTTTCTTTCCACATCCCTCTTCTCCTGTCAATTCTCTCTTGATATCAGTTCTGTCCCAATTTTTGTTTCACTGACTACGCTTTTATCTTTTTTTTTTTTTTCTTAGGTAAGTAATTGTCCACCAGAGCTTGAGAAACATCCCGAGGCTCAGCACAAACCCGGCACAGTACTGACAAAGAAAAGGAAGGAGGAGACAATCTTTGTTTAAAAACTAAAAGTGTTCCCAGTCATCGAAGAATGTTCAAATCGCAGTATATATCAGAAAACGTTTAACACTTCGAAATCGTTCTAGGATTGTAATGCAGACGGAAAAATTAAAAGTCGTCAAATTCTTCTTAATTACAACTGTGATGTCGTATCAATGGACAATTTTGTTGTTCTTAAAAAGCTAAGATCTGATTGATGGATGATGCACACTTGGGAAGCTTTCTTAGCGCTTAGAAGGCTGGAGTGGCGCTTGTTTGTGCGTGAAGTTTTACGATTTTTTTTCTTCAAGTTTTTGCGTGCATCACATCATGGTATATGCAACTTGGTGCGAATCCATCACAATTCTAGTTCTAGCATTACATGTCGAAGTGGGGAAGGGAGGGGTGGGTGGAACGAGTGTCATCGCTGGTGTCTTTTATGCTCGTGGTTTATCATCACTCAAGTAACGATTAGTGACGTATAAATATTTGAATTTCATTTTAAAAGCACCTTCGTTGCAAACTGACAACATAATGTATTCTTCAATATAAAATGGTGTAGCATATATTTTTTATCCTTTAATTCTACTTTCATAGAACTTGATAAAATCTTTGATACAGACACCGGCGGATCTTGGTTGATTATCTAGTTGACATCAATCCCCTTGGATGTTCGTGAAAAGTAAAATAACGTAGTGGACGCTGTATCACGGTCCTGTATTGGTTACACGAGTGGCGAATAAAATGTGTTTAAAATCCCCGAAAAAATTTAGGTGGGGTTTATAGCGGCTAGCATTTGGTTAAATAAGTTAAATTTGGAACAGCAGACGAAATTATTTTCCAATAACACGAGGAAATGCGAAAGAGTTAACTGAACGAAAAGGACCTTCTTTTAACGAGCTGGAGTTGCGAACAAAGGTAACGCGGTGACCGTTTCTTTCTCGTTCACACTCAGGCGGCTTGTGCCTGACGAACACTCGCATCTGGAAACTAAAAAAACAAGAAACTTTAATGTTAATGTCGACAATGGATAGCGACAGAAACAACACTGGAAAAAGAAGAGTTTTAACAAACAAAGTAAGGAGGAGGACATGGTCAACTTGTAAAATCCATAGCCGATGTAGTACGCTCGACATCGCAGTCTCTCAGGTGAGAACATTTCCATGTTGAGTGAGCTTGGAGTTTGGATAAACTCACATATCTATTGAGATGCAAACCATAGAACCTCCGATTTATTATAATTATAAACTACTTACTTTTTTCGTCCAGGTCTTTGACTATGGCGGACAGCTGTTTTATTTGTTCTCTCAGTACAGACAACTCTTCTGGCTGATAAAAACAAGTTGTTTTCAGTAAAATTATTTTGCGTGTATCGCATGCTTATATTAATCCTTCTTACAGGGGCGTAGCCAGGATTTTTCAAAGGGGGGAGGGGTCACAGAAGCTACTCACCATTTACACCGCTGCTCTCCCGCCTTTATCAGTAGGCTCAGTCGTATTATCGCGGCATGAAGGCCCATATTAACTAAATGCAAGAGTCGTTGACGAAAATACTTTACAAAAAAAACCAAATTTTAAAAAAGTGGGCTTTTCAACAATGGCTCTTACGGCCAAGATATTGTCATGGCGTTTTCACCCCCGCAATATTGAAGGTTGTTTGCTCTAAAGAAGGCTTACCAAGGGGGGGGGGGGCCACGGGCAACGCAGGACCCCCCTGGCTACGCTCTTGACTTACCGAAGTGCCGATGCCCGGTCGCCCGGGTTCCCCTGAGGGTCCAGGCGGTCCACGTAATCCTATCGGTCCTTGTACTGACTTCCCTGGCTCTCCTTTTCGTCCTGGTGGACCTGAAGGGCCTCGTTGTCCAGGTGATCCAGGAGGACCCGGATCTCCCGTCACTACCATGGCCGGACCTGGTGCGCCCGAGTCTCCCTTTTGTCCTTTTGGACCCTGAGGGCCCTGAGAGGATCCTACAAATAATTATGAAGACAAAAAATCAATTTTTGAAAATGAGTTAATTTTCTTAACAGTAAAGGAGTTTTGAGCAATTATTTCTTCGTACCTCCTACACCTTTAGAACCTCCAGGTCCTGGTTCTCCCCTCTTCCCCGGTCTTCCTGGGGGTCCCGGAGGGCCGGGGAGTCCCGGTGGTCCCGTATTACCCCTAAAGATGACATCGTCATTAGATATGGTGGCAGCTGCAGACGTCCCAGCTCTCTTAAATAAATGAGAAAAAAGTAATCAGTTTAAAATTATTCTTTAAAGGCAAACAGAAAACTAGCTTGTAAAGGAGAAAAACCAGACCTTTAATGTTGATCTTTTTTTGTGAAGTAAACTCTTGAAACTTGTCATGTGATCCTGACACTTAAAAAAAGTTGTTTGATTTGTGAAACAGCTGTCATCCTGCTTAATTACAATGAAGTAATTAGCTAACCTTTTCCAGTGCAGATAATCGGCTTTCCCATAAAAGGAACTTGGTGCAGTTAAAACAGGCTGTGGAATTAAGCAAGAATCACAATTAACATCAGCATGGCTAAATATTTAATGAATTCAGAAGAAACCTCATAAACGAAATGGCAAAACGATGTACATGTGGTAAATTGATGGTGCATTTAATATCCTTTCTTTTCCCAAACTCCACAAATATAGACATAAATGAACCTGCTTTTCTAGCAATTTCAGCGAATGAACACAACTTATGAAGATTCATTATCTCTTGAGCAGATCTCTTATTCTGTCGGGTGACTTTTTCCTTATATTATAAGGTGAAAGGGTTCCCAGTTATTTACATTTCCGTCTGCCTATTTTGCAGAATCGCCGTCTAAACAATGGAACTACGAAACAGCGTGAAGTTTTTGGATCAATTTTGTCCTTTGTATTTGAGACATGTTTAAGAAAACCCACGTGTGAATTAAAGGGACAATAATGAATAATTTTGAGATCTAGTTGTTCCGTTTTGAAATTGCGAAATGTCTCTCAGTTAGCGGCCACGCATTGATCAAACAATGCATGTGTTTCAATATAAAAAAAGGACAAATGCACTTCTTACAGCGTTTTCGCCAGGAAAAAATATCTTCAAAGAGGGTTTTGTTGGAGCGACAGATATTTAAACTACGTAAAAGATTTAAACAAGCCACAGAGTATTGACCTCAAAGTTATATTTTATATCTAGACAACTGTTTTTCCTTTCGCATGAAATTTATTTGCTAAAATGTTGAATTTCATTAACACTGAAAACAATAACATGCCGACCAGGAGTAGCAATTATCACCTAGGCTTGAACCCTTATCAACATCACCGTATCGGTCGGTTTAAATTAAGGAAAAAGCGGTTTACCATTTGACTGCGATACACCTGAAGCTTCGAGAAAATTACTTGCTGTGAAGAAATTGCTTTATCGCTCAAGATTCGTATCAGGGTCATGTGACATATTTTCAACTTCAATTTCAATATTGAACTGAAAGTCTTAGCTATGACTTTGTATCAAGAGATATGCGACGCACAGACTCAAAAATTACTGATCGAGGATAATCCGCTCTCGTTCGTCATCGCTCTTTCAGTTATCAACATTTTTTTGTCTTTCACGGCCTCTGTTGGAAATTTACTCATCTTGCTGGGTTTTAAAAAATGTCGTAGCATTCATTCACCGTCCAAAGCTCTTCTATTCAGCTTGGCCATGACAGACCTTGGCGTCGGTCTTTTTTCTCAGCCACTTTTTGCAGCGTTTAAGATCATTGGCTACCGACAAGACTATAAGAATCCGGTCTGCATCATGGCAGTGTTTGATACGCTCATCGGAAATGCGCTGGCAGCCGTTTCTCTGTTATTAGTGAGTGTTATTTCTATTGACAGATTTCTGGCGTATCGCCTCCGCGGGAAATATCGTAGTGTTGTGACCTTAAAGAAGACAATTTTTGCTGTTATGTGTTCCTGGGTGATCGCCTGTGTTTGGGTTGGACTGGGAGTATGGAAGAAGAGTTCCGCTCGAGTTTTCCAAACTGTTGTTGTGAGTCTGTGTTTAATTGTACCTATTGCCTCATACATCAGTATTTATGTAGGATTACGAATGTGTAGCTCTCATATCCGAGTAAGAAGTGTGCTAAATGCAATTCACACGCCACACTACAAGAAATCCGCCATTACCATGGCTTATGTCTGCGGGTTTCTGCTACTATGCTATCTGCCTCACTTTATGTTGGAAGCCATGTCCGGCTTGTTTAACGATGAAAAAACATATCTTCGTGTTAAAAACTGCACTAAGACAGTGGCCTACTTTAGCTCATCGATAAATCCACTTATTTATTGTTGGAGAATCCAAGAAATTTTTGACTTTGCTTCTTCATCATTATCACGTCTATTCTGTGTTCGCTCTGGATAAATAAAGGCACTTTAAGTTGGCATGACTGCTGCTAATCACAAGACAGACGTTAAATATTTCCTGTTAATGCGAGTAAGTGAAAGCAATACTGATTTGATATTAAAGTTGGAGATACAAATTGGCAAAGTAATTTACATGGAAATTTGAGCACACTTAATGTCTAGTGACGAATGATAGCTTGTTTGACTGATTCGCTGAGGTAAAATAATTTACCACTTTCTTCTATTTCACCGCACGACTCCAGTATATCATTAAGAATTTGTTCTGGCTTTGTATGTAATTCAGTCCCCTATATTTCCAAATTTTGTAGTACTTCTACACTTTATGTACAAAGGTTATTTGATTTCACGTTGATTTTTAAAGCGCGGACATTTGATTGGCCCATGCGATCTTACTAACCTTGACTACAATCCGGACCTGTGAATCCGGGACAACAATCTTTCACTGACACCATAACCGTTCTAACTTCTACTTTGTACACTGGACGATACGAAACTCTGAAAACCACAAATACAACAGATTCGGTTCATATTTTTTAAGCGCTAGTGTCCAAAATAATCTTAATCCTCTGTAGAACAACACAATGATGCTGCTTTCCCTCCCCTCCCCTCCCCTCTCCGGCCGGGTCCAAGCCGCATGGACACGTTCGATTTTCCGGCCGCTGAAGGCTTGGGTCTGAGATTTGATTGGAGTCCGAAGTCACGTCGGCCGTTATCTTATCCTTTTCTAGTCGCTCCAGTACGCTTCACTATTGAAAGTCTAACTATAACGTATACATACCTATAACCTGTGCATACTTTGTCCTGAGACTGTGTTCCACAATAATACTTATATCTGTTCGTGACTCGTTTCATGTGCGCCACATTGCACGTGACTTGTTTTGGTTTCTGGTATATACAGTATTGTCCACCAGAAGATTTGCTCTCATCACCCTGGTTTCCAGGCTTTGGAGGGCTTGGTGCCTTTCCATGGTGTCTTTTTTGACCAGTTTTCTTGTACAGCGGTAGCTTGTTAGATGGGTCCAGAACCAATCGATTGGCCGGATGGTGTGCGGTTTGGCTGTTGTGAGAGTGTAAGGAACAGAGAAGAGTTCAAATTTGGTTTCCACAAAATCGTGCTTCTATTCATTGCACTCGCATTACAAACTTACTCACGCAAGGGGAATGTTCGCAAGGCTTTCCGTGGAAGGCTGAGAACAAATCTGCACATGTGAGTGAATTACGCAAAAGTGATTTATTTCTAAACCTCGAAAGCAAGTAATCAGAAAACTTTCGCATTCGGTCGTTTTGGACAAACAGACTTAAATCTAACCTTTGAAAACGTGAAAATAGGCGAAACTTCCATTGCGCTCAATGTTGATGTTCGAGGCCGCCGTATAAAGATTCTTTTTACTGTGAATATTAAGGAAAAATTTGGGACAATTCCTACAGTAGTATATCCTCTGTCTGTGTTAGTGTTATATAACCCTTTACACCTTAACACCAGTACACACATTCTCTCCACTGTTCCCTAGACAGTACCTACAGTACCCCTACAGTACTGGCAAGTAAAACTTGTTTGACATTCGGTTTCCAAGATTTTCCTCTATTCCCGTGACCTTGATAGATTCAGGAGTGATTTTGCAAGGAGAACGTAGATGCTAGGTTCCCTCAAGGGTTAAGCGATTAGTCGCTGCTTTGATTTTCTCTGTCAATCTAAATTCTATTTTCACTTTTATGGTGGTCATCTTGCACGATGAACAAAGTAAATAATTGCGCTTCCATCAACCTGTCTGTTTAAAATGTCGTCCGATTTTTATCTTGTTCAACACATTTAAGATAGCGTAATCTACTGCAAGTCATAAACGTTGTGCATTGCAAGGGTGCAAAACGCTTAACTAATTAATTTCATTGATGAACCTGGTTTGAACTTTTACGTGACCTGATTCATGTAAACTGCACAGTATCAAATTATTTTAGTCACAAAAATTAAACCATTGCAAAGGTCGATAAAAATACCCAAAGCATGCCAAATCTTTGAACAATTTTGTGCTCTCAGCAGAGATCGGATTTAAGGTAACAACCGCAATTGCTGAAAAAAATGACAGGATATCAGTCATTCCTGCTAATGCACGTGGGTGCTTCACCAGAACAATACAAATACAGCGCATCGTGGAGCAGTCAAGTTTAAATTCAAGAACTGAGGATACTTAAAGAATTTTTAGGTTTATGTTATTTGACTAAGGCCAAAAAAAAAATTAATTTTTGGTTCAAAACCACGACATGTTTCAAAAAGCTAAGTTTATAATTTCATGCTTACAGATGTCTTTCCCTGACAAATTACTTTGCTGTTAACAAGGAAATCGGATTCTTTGAAGACTTTAAAATTTGCTCGCGCTTTGGCGCAAATTCTTGCACTAAGTACACCTTTGAAAGTAATAAACTCTTAAGAAATAAATGGAAGTAAATCATTAGAACTAAAGATTTCCCCGGCTTTCATGGCAAAAGGAAAAATACCGTAGCTACAATGAAGGACCAAAATCTATTTTCGACTTATCCCGCAAGTAAATGTATACCTCACCTTCGAGCACGCGGGTTACTATAACCGTAGAGGGAAATTGGTCTTATTCCATAAGAACTTGAACTGCGGCGAAAACCGCAAACAGCTCCGAGAAATGCCAGAATCAGAAAAACGCAACTTTTAAATTTTGAGATCTGCATGATGTTGAATCGATGGCAAGGACGATCTGTCTCGATCAGCTCTCAGCTAGAACGGTTTCAAGACACTGTCTCTGTCAAGCTGCTCGCAAGCTCAGCGCGTTCCAGGTAAGCCCAGCTTATAGGTTTAATCTTGCTTCATTGAAACCTGGCTGCACATGTAAGTTGAGTTTCTTGAGAGCACCCGCCACTGCGAACTCTTGATATCCTCTTTTAGAGCAGTTCCTTGCGTAAGTCTGTGAATTTGAGATGGACTCATGAGATAATTGATAACAATTCGTGGTGATGACAAAATGATCTGAACATAAGTTTGTGATCAAAAAGGACATTTACTAAACTAGCGCCCAGGTATCTGTTTTAATTAACTGGGGATTTCCGGTCGCGTTGAGAGCGAAAAAAACCTTGGAAGAAATCCAGACTACCACGCACGAAACTTAAAAGACGTTTTTACACCAAACTGATAAGAAAATTAAAACAAAACTATATTGAAGTGAATATTTCCTTAAGTGTTACAAAAACATTGGTAAATCAACAAACTAGTGGTCGAACACCAAACGTTAGCACATGGGCCTCCGCTGGGCTGTATCTTTGTTGTTGACCTTTTAAGCGGCAACCGACCCTTGATAACAGTAACTTTAAACCAATCAACTGAGGTAAGATTTAACACCAGCTTTGTGTTGAAAACCGAATCTCTTCAGTCGTTCGTTGTTTAAACAGCCGTCAAGCAGATAAAAAGGAAGTTCTTCCTCTCTCGCATTTTTGCGGGAAGGATTTATTAGTTGGGAAAAAGCAATACGTGTCCTGTTTATCTAAGGATCCGGATAACCGTATCCATTTGTTGTAAATGTTTTTACTGTGCTAAATGGCATTACATGTTGTATTTTGCGAAAAGAAAAAAAAACTGACTGAGTGTTGACTTTCCTTTCAAGTTCTTGTTAGGCTACAAACTTCTTCTTACCTGCCGGCATTTCCGCATATTCATGCTATTTGTACTTAGGCATTTTCACCCGAGGTGTCACTGACCGCTGATGGCATCTGCCCAATTTAGTTTTAGCTACGATTTCTTAGGCTGTTTTATATTTCACACCAGCTTAATCCTTGTACATTTCAAACGGATTAACTCTGTTTTATTAACTCTCTTCCATTGTATCTTTGTCTGTCTTCGTACATGAAGCTGCACAGAATCAGTTGTGTGTGTCTATCCGTGTGTAGAACTGTCAAGCTTCTGAAATTTACCCGACTTCACTTCAAGTGATTTTCGACCTGTAATTCTTATCTCCCCTATCCAAAAGTTGGGCGTGGTCAAATTATTTGGCCTAGAGATAAAAGGGTGAAAAGATGCAGTGATCCTGCCACAGAAATAATTCTTTTGCCAGGTTTGTTGGAGGCATTCGTTGTTAGACATAACAAACACGCGGGTGTTACTTGCGATCTTCATCAATGGAGTGAAATAATGCGTTATTGTTCGACAAAATATTAAAAGGAAATGCAATAATCAGCGAGACAACTTGCTCCGGTGGTAGAAATAAACATTTGGCGCAGCGCAACGGAAAATCTCCCGCAATTTGAAAGGGTGATTTTTCCGCTAAAGATCAAAACTGTTAGGACCACCTTTACCAATCAAATATTTTGCGCAGACAATCGTCACAATCGAGACCCGGTAGTTGTCCAGGTTATCCACTAACCAAGGACCGAGATAAGAATGAAATATGTTATCGATTAAACGTGGGGGACTTTTGCTTTTCAGCTAATCGCTATAGCAATAAGGAAAATCAAGAAAAGGAAATAAAGTCATATCAAATTGTCCGCCTGGTAAGCTTTTCACCCATTTGTGGCTTTTATAGTTCCTTTTCATTTGGCTGCTCATACAGTCATGTCAGTCTCCGAAGAGCTGGTTTAGGTCAGTTCGTTCCAAAGTATCAGAAGAAAATCAAAACAAGGGAAAATTCTTTGAATTATTTGCTTCCAATTGCAAGAAAAATGCTTGTAATCTAGCCAGAGGATATCCCCTTGTTATAATACCAAGGGCTCAACATAACTACATGTATTAAAGCCACTCTGTTTTTAAACCGCAAGCATAACTTTTTGAAAGTTCAGGGTTTTTCGAGCTGAAGCCCTAACCCTAACCCGGATCCAATTTTTTTTAGTAACGTTACTTAATGAACGTAAGGTAACAAGAACAAAGTATCTTGTGTCGGCAATTTTTCACAGATAATCGATCAAGTGTACTCACGTGATTTTTCTGATAACGTTAAGAAGGTTAATGACACCGTTTACAATCGGCTCTGATCGTTTTAGCGGGAACTATCGTCACCAACGCCTCAAAGAGACAAGAATTTCATTAAAATTATGACTAATCGATTCAAGAATCATCAATTAAATTCGCTAAACCCTAAATAAATTGCTAAATACCTGGAATGTTCTCTTATCTGGAGACACATGTTGTCGCAATTAAATGTTTTCGATAACGCGTTATCCGCAACTTGTTTCAATTACAAAAATGCTTATCTATTTGCAGTGTTTATTTGTTTATTCAAGATATCTGGACTGGCAAACAAATCGTTACAAGAAATTTCTGCGACGGCTCACTCTGTAAATAGCTTTCAGTTGAGTAAAAATAACAGATGAACTTTACTGATAATGTGAACTCAAAAGAGCTGCGATTAATTCATAATCATGATGGCTTTTCCAGAGCTTCGGCCCTCAGGCCTTTGATCCGAAAACAAATTTTTTTGAGGTATCATTTGCTGTTACAATAATCTTGCATCGTTTACGTTTCAGCAAACAAGATCAGAAGGACCCAGGTCGTCGCCGATTAGAACTGTTATCTAGACAAAGAGTAGCGTAAACAGACCGTGAATCAGTTGTAAGTGATGCTGAAAAAAAATCTGACTGATGAACTGTTTGAAAACACAAGAAAAGCCAACTGATGCTTTAAAGATAAAGTCGTCTGGGGCTGAAATCACGAACTCCAAGGTGCACCTTAGATTATGCTATACCCTATCTCCCCACCCCTAGTCAGAGAGTCATTCATTCAAATTAAGTCTTCCTTATCACCCCCTCACATATACTCTACAAAGAAGATGGCGATCGTTACGTCATTCAAACTAATTACATTCACTTCAGGCTAATCAGGGAACCTAATCACTGCACATTCATTCGATTCTTTGTAGTAGTTGAGAGTATACAAGCCAATCCTGAGTGGAAGCAGAAAAGTGTCTGCAGCTCAGTTCGTCGGTAATGCAATAGGCAGGCAAGCCTATGCAATTTAATTAAAAACATTTAATTATTGTCGTTGACATGTATTTCAGTCGTTGAGTTTGGTGCGGATGAATTATTTCGGCCCTGAGGCCTTCTCTTGACGCGGTTGTTCAGTGCATGTTTTGTTTAAATCAACGGAATCGATTGAGTTCTCTATCCATTAAAACATACACGTAAACATAAAAAAAATAAAACACATGAAACAAATTGCACTAATGTAAGAACACCAAGGGAACATGAGCAGAAAAATAATGTGCTTCTTTAGAAACCAACTAAACAGTTTGACTATGGAGGTTATAAGTCACTGTTTTTCAAAATATCATTAAGGGGACCAACAACGGCTGAAGTGAATAAACAGTCATATTCGGTCTATACTTTACCACGAACCTTTAGGTTACGTTACTGTAAGATAAAACCCTACTAAAATAGTACACTTTTCTTTTTCTACTAACTATCAGAACCAAGTTTGAGTTTGCCATATTCTGGTTTAGCGCTAGCCACTTTTTGAACAATCAGTCCTTAAACTGTCTATTTAAAAGAAATCATTTTGACGCTGTATCAGTCCAAAGGTAATAACCTCAATCCAATTTAGATGATGAAGCAAATATTGCTTCTTTATTTGAAGACAATGATACTCGGCTTTCTTCAGACTGCATATTTCAATTATATATATGCCGTCCGGGTCAGTTTAGCAATCTTCAAGGCTGTCGTTTGATGATGTGGTGACCAAAGCAACACGGATATCTCGTGGATGACATAATTGTTTTGCAGGACTTATCGTCTGCAATCAGCGCAAATCTTCTCCATCATTAATCTTCACCAATCTTTTCTCGTTTATTTTTATCCCCTTCGATGTTCGTTTACCCAGAATTTTTTCGTCTTAGGTCTCGTGTTTTCTTTTTAACATCTACATGTACCATGTTAACTGTTGCTTACCAACACTGAGGCACTAACCGGCGCTCTCGTGTTTAAGCAATGATAAACACAAACAAAGCTATCCAGCCTAAAAGTGGAAAATGAAAAAAAATGCTGTCTGGACCTGACGAATTTCAAATCCCATTGGACTCAGAGGGATGGTGGCTAATAATCCTCAGTTGGTCCATTAAAAAGAGAGCCTTACTTTTTTTTAATCAGAAAAAAAAAAAGCATGTGCACGCACACTTGACAGGAAATCTTCAGACCAGCTTAATTAGACTGGGATCTTACTTCTCCGGAAATCTTAAGAAAGAAAAATAATCCCTTTCACTTCTCAAATGAATTGCTCCATTCTGCAGTTTTCCCCTAAAGTCCTTTTTTTTTCTGCTTTTTAATGGCCTAGAATAGTCGGATGCGTTTAGTCAGACATGCGTAAGGACCGGAAGTTACTTTCATATTTAAGGAGGCTGTGTTGACTGGATCAGTTACAGTCGTTGTGGGTGATGAATGAGTTTGTCATCTCTAAATAAGTTGTATTTTTGGAATGGTAACCAATAAAAGCTCGGTTTAATCGTATTAATGGAAACAAAGAGCTGCTTAACTCAGTAAGCTCAACAGGGTCAGTCTTTCATCACGGAATCTTTTAACAAATGGCACCTGACTTCACTGAGTAACATAGTTCTCAAGTAAAATCAAGAATCCCAACCGATCAACTTCACACAAGGACACCCTTAATTTATTAGGGTAGTTTCACACTAAGCCAATATAAACGGGATAAGGTCAGGTCAAAACAGAGAGATCCTTCGCCAACTTGTGTTACTGAATCGTATTCGTTGCTTTGGTCAGTGCATTTTAAGCCAATTATATCTTAATTGGTACAATATCTGAATTCATGAGATCCTTAGAGCAGCGCAGCGACCCAGAAGTGGGATATCAATTGCGTCGCTGTGAATTAAACTGTCCTGTCTCCGTCAAGAAACTATAAAGAAACGGCTCTTCCCGAAGAGATGGAACACATCCAGAAACGTGATCACGGTACATCACAGGAAGAGCTAATCAAAGACGGAATCAGTAGCAAACATGAAGTCGGATTTTGTAGTAATTAACTTATAACATTATATTTCCACAAAAACTGAAGGAGAAACACGCATGCGAGTATAGAAATGTTTCAGACGTTCAAAAATCTCCTCTTCTGCTGTGAAATCATGTGAACCAGATCTTAAAATGTCGGGGAAAACTTTACATAAGTTTCTCCTGGACGCGTACGAAGCGCCTATTGAAAAATAGTTTGGATTTCTTTACACCCAAATTTACAAACAAAGAAACTCCAAATCAATCAGCAAAATGTAAATATTTCAGTAGTCACTGACATACCGTTTTGGATAGTAAGCTTGGTTGCCCTGTGGAATTAACTCACTTGTTTTACCGTTTGACTCATTGAGCGCTGGACTCTTTACGTCAACCAAGTTGGCCAAGTCCGTGGACGAAATGAAATAACACAACTTTCTCCGAGTAAACGGATTCACTTAGCATGAATTGAAAATTGAAACTACCGGATAAATATTTAGATAAGTATTTAAGTCAATCTCACGCTGAGCCTCCTCTTGTTTATATAAACAGTGCGACTTGCTTGGTACTCAAGTTAATGCAAACGTATTTTGAAACATCGTTTGCTGGATCTATGTGGTGCATAAGCTTCTTTTTCGCTTAGTAATTGTGCTCGATAGCCGATGTTAACACATATGCAAGTTATATTCTTAAATTTTCACAAAAATCTTAGATTAACGGGATAAAAGAAAATCATTTGTCGACGTAATTGGTAGTTGTAAAATTTGAAATGATAACTACTCGGCTAAACTTTGTTTTCCTTGAAAACAGAACGACTCTTAAACTCTTCTCCATCCTTAACACTCGATTTAAAAATTCACACTGAATTCTAATTTCATTTTAATCGACTTCTTTAATTTTGACCAACCTATAGTTGATCCTGTTCCAATTGAAGGATTATGATCTTACTTCCAGATGTTTCACATAATAACATAGTAAAGTCCTTAAGCCCGCTGTACCGAATCGCTGTTTTTTTAACATGTTTTAAAATCATTTCAGCCGAAACATTGTAAACAGGATGTATCTATTTCACTATAAGCTGGTTTTAAATATGATCCTGTACTATTACTTTAAGTTCAAATCAGTTAAATGATATATCTTTCCTATTACAAGTTACGTTCAACACTTACTAAGTGAACTAAATGCGGTTGAAGCAACATACCATTGCCTGCTTTTGACTCTGTTTCGTTTTTGGTTTGTGTTTGTTGAACAGATAATTAGTTATTTCAAGTATCCCCTTGTTTTTCATTATATGGAAGTGTCCGACAGGACTGAAGCGTCCCCGATTAGACGGAAGAGTCCGAAATCGAACAGAATCATTCAAAATCTATCAGAGATGCAAGGCCNGCGGAGGGGGGAGGGCGGAGCGCCGTGCCAGAGGTACAAACCGCTTCGAGATCTGAGGACCATTTGTTATTTTGCCTTGGTTCCCATTCTGTTGTATTATTTCACTCTCAGTAAGTGAGTAACTAAATTTTCATGTCTTGGTCTTATATTCTACTTTAACAACTTCTTTGAATTCAGTGTAAATTCAGTTTAATATTTAACTTTTTTATGACGTAATTAGGAAGGCAGACAGTACAAAAGATTGTATTTATATTTTGGTGCTGGCTAAACCTAAGAATCCAGTGACCGTCGCAATTCAACAGATCCACGGCGTTAAAATTTAAAAAAACCTGGCCTAAATACACCTCAATTCTAAACATGAACTAGTAATTCGAAGTTAAGATTCAAGTCGATGAGAACCGATATGACCACACGCATTTAACATTACACAATTAAAACATTATAGGGTTTTAAGACTTTTAATTGGAATTTACACACGAACTGTCTCTAGAACGATCAGACAAAGTCATTTCTAGCACGTACCCCTTACCTTTTAATTATTGCAGAGACATACCTGTTATTTGTTTCCGTGAATAGCGACGTTCTGCTTGTTTGGACCAGAGTCGCCTCTTCGTAGGAAACGCAGCCTCCTCAGTCATGTCGTACTTTTACCACAAACCCGAGGAAAGTCTGGGGAGAGTATACCAAGCCTCCTCTGAACTTTGGTCTCCTTTTCAGGTTTCGCTGAGGAATTCGCCAAACAAACGTAAAATTCTAAGGAATTCCAAAGGGAAAATCATCCTTAAGATGGTTTGCTGTTCGTTTGTTTGGTGTCTAAAGAACCTTGAAAGCACGAACGGCCTGCACAAAATGCCAGAATCAGAGCAGTGGGCACTAAAAATGGAAATTAAAAAGTAGCATAACACATAAGAGTAACATAACATAACGTTTATTCAGGAAGCTACAACCCAAATATAAAAAATGCATCCTGAAAAGGGAAAATCGTGAGGTTAGCCCTGTATAAAAACAATTTCCCTGACTAAAAACATACAAAAGATCAAATTTAATGGCTACAGATTCAATAAATATTCAATAAATACGGGAGCCCATTAGTTTGAAGTTTTTCCTGGTGGCTGAAACGGCCGTGGACTAGAACTTAGCTAAAGACCTTCTTGTCGTCAATATTCTTCTAGACTCATGACGTAGGTTTCAGGTACAACTTCATACCTCATAATATGCATACAATTAATTGATAAGACTGTAGACACATGCCGTACATGGAAATCTCTCCAGATTTTTTCCTAGCAAAGTAGTCGTAAAAAAAACTAAATGATATTGATCAACAAATTATTAATTACCATTTGTTCTTCGTGTGGTTCTTTCTAGAGGTTTTGACCTTTCCGTGTTCGTGACTTTTTCATCTCGCAGCAGCTGTGACGTAAAACATCACGTGTTATTTCTCATTTACTCCTTCTTTCGCTCTGTTTAGCGTCGATTGCTATCATGGCAGGAACTGAGGTAAGAAAGTTCTTCCCGTTTATTTAGGTCTTTTAGATTTTATAAGGCGATTACAGTATTTCTTACAGGTGCCTGGACAGTTTTTTATTGATCACTGTGTGACACCTCTCAGGTGTAAGTTAAGATTTCAACAAATCGAAAGATCATTGTTGTTTGTGCGATTCAGCATGGTTCTTTTGATTTAGGACAAGTCTTTCTCATTTTTTGAACGATCGACCCAAGTTCAATTCCGTGAACTTAGGAATTACTTTCTTAGTCAAAAGCCCGCGAATATTGCAAATCAGATTTCGACGAATGATAGTTTATTTCTCGCCGGTCATCAATAAGTAAATTATACTGACTGTTTTGCCTGCATTTCAAGGATGAATTTATCATCAAAACCGTCAACTTGCCTTTTCAAACGCTAAAAATAGCTGTTAAAATGAGAAGTGGAATCAAATCTCCTTTTGCTAGTGAGTTTAGGGCTACATTCAGCTTTACCAAAGAGCAGGGAAGTCGGAAAATTCCGGTCACGGTCAAGGTATTCGGCCACGTGACACTCTATGTGATCGTGAACTGTGACAACAATACATTACGGAGTGCGGAGCCCAGAATATTCAAATTTCTAACTGGATCTACAAAACCTCTCTTAAAAACCTTACCTGCCATTAAAAGGGGATCAAAGCGTTATTCCCAGTGGCAAACTATGTATGCTTGAGTTTGATAGAGGTTGCTCTTATATTTTTAAGGATTCACGGCACAAACATGGCAAACGGGAACAATGTTTAGTTTCTTTACATGAAAAAATAACAAATAAACTTATCCTTTGCTTCCTTCAGCATGATAATGAATCATTAAAGGACCACTGTCCTGCATTTAAGGAAGGCTGCCCTTATTCCAAGTTGACAGAAGATCTTTACATGGGTGAATTGAAAAAATGCCCTGAGTTCCAGAAAGGATGCCCCTTTAAAGATGCTAACAATGTCAAGGAAGTGGTTGAAGAATTGTCTAAGATGCCAGAATCAAAGCACCACACAGGAGCAGCACACAAACAGGTACTTGGCATGCTGAAGGCTGTTCATTCTGAGTCCAAAAAGTTGGAAGAGAAGGTTGGAGAGTGTCCTGTATTCAAGACAGAGGAAGGCTGTCCTTTCAAAGAAGCCAGCAAGGAAGGGAAACCTTTGGTAGAGCCACCAGCAGCTGTGCTAGAAGATTTAACTGCCTCTGATGTCAGTAAATTGAAGGAGAAGTGTCCTGCTTTTAAAGAAGGGTGTCCATTTGCCAACGTGGATAATGACTCTCTTTTAGAAGAAATTAAGAAATGCCCTGAGTTTAAAGAAGGATGTGCCTTCAAGGATGCCAAAACAACGGAAGAAATTTACAGTAAGCTGTCACAGATGCCAAGCAGCGACAAGGACTACCACCATAAAGAAGCTCTGATGGAGACCATGAAAGTTGTTCACAGTGTTGGCCATGAGAAAGCTGAGGAGTGTCCTGTTCTACAGAAAGATGGTTGTCCATTTAAAGCTGTTGAGAGTGAAGGAAAGCTTCTTGTGGAGCCAGCTGATTCAGTGTTGCCAGCTGGGGTGAAAAGGAAGTATCCAGCTTCTGATTCAGGTTGTCCTTTAGCCAAAGCCGGCAAAGAAGATCCGAAGAAATAATGAGTGGATCTCATAATGACACTCACAAGCTGAAACATAACATGCAAAAACATTTTTAAATGAATAAATTTTTTGGTTATGATAACTAAGCTTTCAATGAGTACTTTCATTGAAAACAGTAAGCCAAACCATTAAAGTTAACTTTACCATTCTTATCTGAGTCTTGCTGGTTATGATTTGATAACTAAACTTGAATTGAATACAGGTTTTCAGCTATTAAAATTATAGGCCTGTGGTAAGAGGCATGAAATCAATGCTGAAGGGAGGCTGGCTCATGATAGTTGCAACCATGGAGCAAACTTGTATCTCCGAAGTTGTTATGAGAGGGCAATAGGAGCTTCAGGAAGAACAAATTTCCTCATGGAGGGGAATTGCTTTTTTCTTGAACATTTACAACAACTTCAAAAGTCTACAAAGTCAATGTAATGAGAAAACTGGGTACTAGAATTGGTGCTCTTTCCCATGCCCTATGCACTGTTATCCAAGATGGCGGCTTAATGAAGACGGTTTTACAATACAGCGTGGCTCTCAATAAATATCAGCTGGGAATCGGCTGAAATGTCAACATGACTGACCTCGATCCAGAGAGAGCCATACTACATATTGTGGTGGTTGGTTTCCATCATCAGCGAGGATCTGAGGTAAAATGCGTCCCCGTAATTTGTTCGAAAGTACCAGCTTTGACTGAACAAAAATGCGACATTCTTTCCCCGTTTTCGTCGTTAATGATAATTTTATTTCCGTAACGCAGGTGGAGTTTTTATATCCTCCGCTCGGAAAGCAGAGAAATTCTCAATCTTTAATACTTCCAAGTGAATGGAGATTTCTGCCGTTTTTGGCTTTACCAGATGGAGCTCATAACTGTGAGCAAGGTATGAATTATACTGAAAACTCTTCATTTTATCGAGTGACGATATCATTATGTTAATGTATCGTGCATTTCAAACATCGCGTTTACAGCTCTTCCTTAATTATTAAGCTGTTTTACGTATTCGTAGTATTAAAGATATACATCCTGAAAGCTTTTTTAATCAAATAGTTGGGCAAGATTTCCGTAGAACCCCATACTACAGTGTGCATTCAATTCTTGGACAAAGGAAAGCAGACGCAAAACAACAGATTTCCTTTGGGACTACGGCTTTGTTTTTGATTGGTACGGGGTTATACGGTAACCTTTCCAATAGCTGAATTTTATTAATTTGCAGACACAACTTTCTTCCATTTACCAAGTCTCAGCACGGCAGACATCGGGCAGAACCCACAATCAACTGTTTTTGGGATTTCTTGTTATAGGCAGATTGATAGTAAGGTTGGTACAACTAATTTCTCTAATTAAGCTGATGGTGAATTGAAGGGAGGAGTATGTGAATAAACAAAGTTCAGACATGGGAACAAGCAGTATCATTCCTGTTAGGGTATATCTGAAGAGGGCTGTCTTTGGTGACAGGAACACATTTCGACAACCTAAGCCAAATCTATCATCAATAAGATCATAATTTGAATAAGTGTTGTTGTAAAATTAAACTGAATATTCGAACTCACAGAGGATAGTACTTTTTCCTTATTAGGTTGGAGCATGTGTGAAGTGCTCGTTCAGCTCATATTTTGCTTCCAAAAAATTAGAGACAAGAATCAGACTTTTTGTAGTTTATGGTGAGTTTAGAATGAAGGTTTCTAATTCATTTTATGTTGAAAGGACTTAAAAATTAAAAGTGAAGATGTGACCAGAAGCACTGTACAGAAGAGTGTTTGTGTCCTGTCTTGCTTGGTGAGTATACAGATGACTTATATTAAGTGAATATTAACCTGCTGTTTACTAAGTGCCACTTTCATCCTGCAATGTACAGACTGTTTCAACTTAGCCTTCAGATTAAGTTTTATTTTGCTTTTTCTAACTAAGCTTAAAGCACAAAAATGCACATGATCTGTTGGCTAACTTAAATGTAGAAGATGAAGTAACTAAACACTGGGGGTCAGAATGTATCAAGTACAAAATATAGAGATGAATCAGTTGGAGTAGATATTTAAGTTTAAAGGAAGGAACTAGTAAAACAGGAGAAATTACCTTAGAGAGTGGTAAACTTTAGATTAAACTAATAATTTATCTAATTATTTCACAAAAACATTTATTTACATCTAAACAGGATGATAGTTTACAAAGCTATCAAAAATAATACCAGTGGAAGGATTTTCATAAAATTGACAACTGTCTTCTTCTCGCCAACCTGATTGATAAAGGCACCTAGAAGAATAATTGGATTGTCACAGTTTTCATTCATACTTTGGAGATCATAACAAGATAGGGACCTGGACACTACCTATGATTTGCGCGATAGGGGCGTGGTGTGAGCCGTTCATACCACATTGTTCTTGTTACATGTTCTCGTCATAGATAGGAATTTATCCATTTCACCGAGATGTTCGTTTAATAGAGATGAGCATTCTCGCTACAGAATGATGAGAACAAGTAACAAGAACAACATGTTATGAATGGCTCACACCAGGCCTCTATTGCACAAATCATATGTAGTGTCCAGGTCCCTATCTTGCTATAGCATTCTGCTCTAATCATTTTCAAGGTGAATTCTAATTATCTGACTCCATTACATGATGAAGATCAGTACAATGAAGACAATTAGTGAAAAACAATAATTCAAATTATTATTTAGCACAGAACTAGACAAACAATTAACAGTTACAATTATTTGATTGTTTTCTTTTTCTTGTTTCATCAGCCACTTTATGGATATTTAAGAGAGAAGCTGCAAGTTGCCACTAGAGTCTATTTCGAAGAGAAGGATTTCTCTCAAACAGGAATTCTAGAGGTACTTGATATCCACAGACTCAACTGTATTTTTTAACAATTGGTGAAAGCTTTGTAATGACTTCGTTGTTACTCTCACTCATAACTTAGTTTCTATCTTAATTTTATTGTGCATGATTTCAGGAACTATATAGAAATTTAAACACGACTATTTCACCAAGTCTGATATCAGAAGAATCTTTACTAACTGTTGGTGAGTTTTTTATGGTTTTTGATAATAATGAGTTGAGAAAAAATTCTAATTGTTTACAAGAAATTGGTTGTAAAATTTTTATATTAGACCATATAATTAGTAATGATATCGTGTCAATGCAATAGATTATTTTAATTCCAGGCTTTTTTAGTAACTGTTTTTTTCTTATTAGGTTTTTCTGCTGTAGAATTAGTTAGAAAGTTCAGACATGAGGTGAGTAAGATTAATTTTATCATGAACAACCACTTTTCAAGATAAAAATTAGTGATAATAATTTTGAACATTCAAAATTATTATCACTAATTTTTATCTTGAAAAGCTTTTCTAAAAAACTACTTATCAAAACAACCATTTGACATGTGAAATGTATGGAAATTTCTCAAAGCTAAAGAAAAAAATCTAGAATTGCTCATTGGTTTGTAAGAAAATAACTTTTATTTGATACTGAATGATGTACTTTAAATTTTCAGATTTTAACTCTTTTTAAACTGCTTCTTCTCGAAAGAAAGGTATGTGTTTGATGAAACTTGTGATTGTTGAGTACAAGTGGTCAACGATGCATAAAATGGCATGCTTTATTGTCATTTATGATATGCCTATTCTCTGGAACCTGTATTTAGCAGTCACCCTGACTGCCATTCCCCTCTGGGTTACCACTTAATACAGGTTGGACTTTAATTTTAAGGTAACCACCTCCCAGTTAGCTCAATTAGTTAGAGCGCTGGACTGTTGTGCAGGAGGTCGAGGGTTCGAGCCCCAGCCGAACCAACACTCAGGGTCTTAAAATAACTGAGGAGAATGTGCTACCTTTCTATAATATCAAGAAATGGACAGACATTCTAGCCTTCTCGGATAAGGACAAGTAAACCGTAGGTCCCGTCTCCTGTAATAATATATATTATTACAAAAACCATAGTCTGTGACAGTTTAAAGCTTTTCTTAGTTAATTTGGTTAGGCAGGGGATGTTAAAGAACCCACCCACGAGATTACTGTGATGTGGTCTGGCCTGTTTACTGGGAACTTGGGATCCACTGTAATTGGCTAAAGCTGTAGTAGTCTCCCTGCCTGAGATAATTAGGTGAAGCTAAATATATATATATATATATACCATGTACCTTTAACTTCTTTATCGCAGGTCATCTTTCATGGATTTCCAGTTACTAGTATTTGCTCTCAGCTTCTCTCACTTGTTTCTCTGTTTCCAAGTAAGTATTTGATAAAATTTATTTAATACTTACAAAATATATTATTACAAAAACCAGTCTGTTATAACTATATTCACAGTTTAAAGCTTTTCTTCTTTTCCCTTCTTTTTTCTTTCTTTAGCACTTCATTAACATAAAATAGTGCTAAAATTGTTGCCTGAAAAAAGCCTGAAGTGATTATTTTGTCCATTTATAATGATTAAGATATAGCAAGAAAGCATTTTGGTTTTAATTGCCACCTTTAGTTTGTGTCAGATGGTTATTTTTTCACTAGCAACTAGCAACTCAAAGATAAACCTCTTATTTACCCAGGCAAGGCACTATGTGGCAATTATTCTTAATAATCTCACCCTTAGCGTTGAACATAACGTACATGTAAGTCAGTACTCTTTTGTTTTTGTCTTTGGTAGAAATGATTCAGGGTGGCCTGGTGTATGCAATTCCCAGAGAAAATAGAATTTTTCAAGAGGATAAGTCGGAGAGTGTATGTATGTTTTATAGTGATATAAACACTTTGAGTTGTAACAGTCATTAAGAAAGGTCACCAGTCTTCCATTGTGTTAATGTATCACTGGTCTCATGTTACAGATTTCCTTTCTATAGTATATTTTAATTAACATTAGACACATACTCTTGGTTAGTTATTTCTGTTAAAGGATGTAGGGTAGCCACACCTTTTTTCTGTTGTTTACATATCAAAAACCATGGAAAATGTTTTCATAGTAAACTACATATATCTAAACAAAACAGAAATGAAAAAAAAAAAAAAAGAAACAAAACAAAACAACCGTAGCCCTAACCCTTAAGAGAATTAAGTTCAATTTGCATGATGGTTGAGTAAGAGTTTCAAAAATTTCCTGGAGGAATGTAAGATATAATATATTTTAATACATGACTATGTAATAAGTGATAAGATAATTTCAAGTGAAGCAAATGTTTATTGTTGTTTTATACTGAAACAGGATATTCATGTACATGAATGTGAACAGCTTGCTGTAGATTTATTTGGATTTCCTTTGGCAATCTTTACAAAAGTGAGTAAAGAGGATATTGCCTAATTTTGTATCAGTAATCACCAGCTAAAGATTCACTGTTCATTGTTATTTATTCCTTGAAAAATAGTTCCAATTTTGCACATGTCTTAAAAGAAATTCTTCATTTTTATCTCACTGCTCCTAAAGGTTTAGATATTATTCTTTTACTTTGAGACAGTGAAGAACAAATGAACTCCCATAAAAACTCCCATAAAATTATTCAACATCCTATGTTACACCAACATTACTGTCTTACAATGTGGTGTGAATGTTTCTACTGTTTACTCATTTTTTTTCCTTATAGAACTCTTTATTTCATCCTTACTTATCTTTGCAACAAATGGAACTTTTGAAAAGTTCTCATGTCAGAAGTTTTGTGGTTGGAGCATCAAATTATTTGTACAAACGACAAAAGGGATTATCAGATGTTTTAGTGGATGTGAGTACTATGCAGCTATCAGATGTTAGTATGAATCTATAAGGGTTCTGTCACAATAAGGCTATTAGCATTCAATTCTGCAATGGATTATTACAAAATGATTGATGTTCCTGTTTTGTTTTTCTTATGACATCTATTTCAGAATGTTTTTTAATCCCAAACTTTCCTTGACCCTTTAACTCCCAGAAGTGATGAACATTTAACTTCTCCACATAATGTCAATGCATTGTTGGATACTTTTAAAGTTTTACTAAAGACACATCTTTTTAATTTAGCTTTCTATTAGTTCTTCTATTCATTCATATCTTACCTTTATTTTTTTCCAGAAAATTGTAAATTATTATTATTATTATTATTACTATCATTATTAGGATTAGCCTCATTGCTGTAAGATTTTTAATGTTGTAATGTGCATTCGATCATATCTTTTATTGCATGTTAGACTGCGCAATATAAGAAATAAACATTATTATTATTATTTAAGCAAACAGGTAATGAGAATACTCAAACTTGTCAGGTTGAGGTTGCTGTCTTGATTGAACACCAAATTCTCATAACTAATTTACAAGGAAATGTGTGGCAGCAAGAAGGGAGAATCAACAATCAGATCTTGAGAGTTCCAGGGTTACATGAAAATGTTTTGCATATTGCAGGGAAAAGGACAAAAATGTGAATTATATTTTGTTTGTTTGTTTTTGGCAACAGCTGGAGAGTAGTAAAATTGAGATTCATGATCCTGAACTAAACGACCAGTTGTCATTATCAACCGCTGACCTCAGGTTTGCAGACTATCTAATTCATCACGTGGATGATTACACTGAGAAAGGGGAACAAGAAGCAGGTTGATTGTAGTGATTTTGACCCTAGTAGAGATATTGCCAATGTATTTTAGTTTTGATTGTGTGCACATGTAATTCATTACTGCCACTGCAAATGAAAGAAAAATGTTTTAATGTCACAGTGATGATTATCAGGAAAAGGAATAGAAGGAAAGGTTCTACTAAGGATTGACTGAATGGTTTCAATGTATCTAAATACATATAGTTCACTTGTGCTCATACTTCCTTTCTATTTGAACAGCAGTCCCCTTAAAAATGTTTCCAGCAGACTAAACATTTAATTTACTGGTTTATTTAAATGCAGTGGAGAGAGTTAGCAGCTAAAACTTTTTCCATTGCCAAGTCATTATTGGTGATCCAATTTAAAAAAATCCAAAGAAAGATGACAGGAGATACTATGAGCTTTAGCTTAACATGTTATCAAGGAGAAAGTCTCTTTTGCCTTTTACTGACTAAGGGTGGGATAAATACTTGTTCTGCCAATACGCACAGTGTTAATCTCTTGCAAAAAACAAGGTTATTAGGTCACTATCTCCTTAGATTTGGACATAAAACATTACTTTTTTGCGTAGTGTAGAATAAACTAACTGGATTTTCTTGGAAACTATTTTGAAAGAATCATATAGCTTTCATGAGAGTGATTCAGTTGAAATATTTTCCAGGAAAAACTAACTACATTCAGTCAGTTTCTTCTATATTATAGCTTTGGAACTGAAATGGACATTTTTGCATGTATTTCACTTAGCATTGAAACTAACTTACACAGAGAGCACCCCCTCTCTGATCAAGTCATTAAAAGTAACTTGATGAGAAAACTATTTTTTTCTGTTTTTTTAGGCTGGGATGGGAGTGATGAGTGGATCAGAGCCCAGTTTAAATTATATCTTCTGTCATTGTTGTCAACCATTCAACACACAGGTTTGTGATCCTTTGTATAGTTTTGTTCATAATGTGGAAGCATTTGTCTGATACTCTTCTGTTTGCAGGGGGTGATGGAATGGCAAATTACAATGATAAATTCGTAGAGGCCTGGAAACAAACTACGAACTATCAAGTGTGGAGAGGAAAAGAACACACTGGGATTGATGATGTACATGCTGGGTAAAGTACACAGCATTTCCAAAGTTTTCTTTTAATGGCAAACCTTAAAACCAAGGGTAGTAACATTTTTAATCTTTTTTTGTTGACAGACATCCATTTCAAGGACAGATGGGGCTCTCAGACATTAAAATCAGACTCTCTAAGTAAGATGTTAGCTATTTATGTTGTTTGTAATTTAACTCTTTAGAAGTGTCACAGAGGAATTGTTTTAAATGATTTATTAGAGGTTATAAGTAAACTTCATTTGGGATAGACAGTGTAGTCTTTAAATTTTCTTAATATGTTCTATATATGTTTCTATATATGTTTGTCGTTTATAGTGTTATGCAGACAGAAAAGGGCCGTAGGATTGGTCATGCTGTGGCGGAAACTGGCAAAGTCGTAGGTATGACAACTATTAGATCCTCTTTAGTTGTAGGGACTGCACAAACTTGTTCCCAGACTTCTCCCCTAATCTTCCTCGGGGTATGAGTAAGAGAGAACTCCCACAACTAGGGAAAACATCAAAGCAGTGTAGAAAGTTATGATATTTTAAGTCTCTACTTTGTTTCTTAGGTGGGGCTATTAACAGCGCACGCTCATTTGTGACATCATGGTTCTCTGAGTTGACGCAATCATCTTCAGAGCAGAATGAGGAGGAGACTGGGGAGGGTAAAGGACCGGAAGAGAAAAATGAAGCAACAATTAATCAAGAGAAGAATGCAATGCTACACGAATGATACAGGGTGCAGAAATTTGAGATCAAATTTAGCAGTAATGCAGTCAGTAGGCTGATAATTACATAAAGGTATAATCCAAGCTTGACATGGAAAGATGACACAGTTGAGGAAATAAATCAGTTTGAATACATGTCCATATTAAATTATGGTATTGGAAAAGTATCTACTATAGCCAAAGTTGAGCAGAAGAGACCCAACAAACTTTATTTTCTGTTCATTATTTATCACATCCATCAATATTATTATTACTATCATTGTTTTGCCCACATTGCTTTTTTTGCTAAAATGGAAAACATCTAAATTATTATGACAAATGGTAATATAGCTCATTAACCTTACCAAATAGACTTTAATCTTTTCACACTAGCAGCATAATAGCAGTTGTGTCAGTTGTGTTGTGTCAGCTGTGTGTACTGTAATAGAGCATATTTGAATTTTCCCCAATATGGAAACTGCACTAGAAATAACTTTGTTATAAATAGTACCCTGTGCTTTACTCAAGTAAGTTTGTCACAGGCACCAAACAATTATTTGATAATATGATAACCAAAAAACTTACACTATTAAACAAATCTTTAAATATTGTGACTAATACAATGGTACCACTGTAATGAATCCCTGAATAGGAAAGTAAAGTGATAATATAGAGTGATGCAAAATTTCCTGTTATATAAATAATAATTATTTTTTGTTAATGATACCAGAGGACTATATTGTTGCCGCAAAACTAGAAGTTACTAAATGAAATAAGTAGTGTTTTCACTGTGCCAGGTTTGCTGCTTTTTTAGTCTTCGTTGTTCATATGTTTTCTGTTGAGCGAACTGGTTAGAAAGTTGGTTCTGTATTCCTTTAGTTTTGGATTTTTCTTGCCATAATTAAAAAAAAATTGACCTAGTGTCAAACTTGTTCCAGGTTTTCATAGGTTTTGCTTTATTTTGTTCTGCGATAGGTTTAGAAAACTCGTGGCAATTATTTGCATTTTCCCACGCTTGAGAATGGCTATCCAGTTATGTATTCTCACTTTTGATTCTTATTGGCCCCTTTCAGTATCTTCCTCTTCTGATTGGCTGAAGTGATTACAGGAGATTTTATCTCGATACTTAATTGAACGGCGCTCTAATCATATGGCTTTGCTGAAAATGTGCTAATTATTTAAACCCGCTCAGTGGCCTGAATTCTCACAAAAGAACATTAGTTGTTCTTTCGACGTAAGTTTCCGCGGAATCTTCAGTTGATTCACAGCCGTCGGTGTGACTTTGAGAAGGAAGTCGCGAAATTTCTGGAACGTACCTGGTTGGACCAAACAAACTTTGAGTGTGTCGATACAGCCGCCATTTTCACGACGAATGAGATAAAAGGGATTCACCTCACATAGCGCGTGGTCCAACTGAAAAGAAATTAATTGAAAGTCGTACAAAAAATGGCAACAGACTGATCGTGAGGCTGGGTTACATAAACGCGATTAGGTGTTTAAGCAGTAATCAATTAATTGTCCAGAGAAATCATCAATTCGGTCTGTGATTGGTCCAGAAAACCATCGCCACAACAATCAATCGGATGCGAAACTAAAATCAATCACGATTTGGTCACCCGTGTAAGCAGGTTACCTGTTTTTACTTCGAGTTTTCATTGGCTGATGATGATGTCAGCCTTCTCTCTTATTGGTCTTTGAGTTTGGATTTAGTTTCTCAACATTCAGTTGAAAACTGCTTTATTTACATCGACAACGACAATATAATGATAATGATATATAAAATTATAATGAGGTATAAAATTGTAATGATAGTGAGAACAATAACTATAATCCTAACGACGATGGTGTGAATAGACACGGGCCTTGCTAATGCATTTATCCTTGCGGTATCTTCGTCAGTAGTAAGTCCAAATTTCACAACACCAGGAAGAAACAAGAGACACAGGGTTAGATTTCATTCTTACCTTTCGAGAAAGCACCTCATTTTCTTTTGAGTCTCGAGTTGCACTAAGCTCCAAGAAAATTATATAAAATGGCTTGACACCATCAAAGTCTGCCTTGCATTTTTGGCCAATAGTTTCCAAAACGAAATCCATTTTCTTCGGGATTAATTCCAACAGAATGCTCTCTGCGCATGTGTAATCCACGAAGTTAAATTTCTCGCCTTTACCTCGGAGCACATTCGTGAGTGCTTCGTACATCATCGTCTCAGTCGTTTTCTCCGAGCGCATGTTTAATAGCTGACCTTGTCTGTACTGAAACTCCACCACCGGGCAACTGTTGTGAAAACGGACAACTTTCACCACATCTCCGATCCTGTAACGGTACAAACCGCTGAGAGTCGTTACCACGAGTTCATACGAGCAACCGGGTTCGAGTTCCTCACCGAACAGCGTCTGTAAATAATATGACGTGTGTTAATAGTTTACTTAATGGCCCTTATTTGGAATGTCATGCATCGCTCCCCCAGAGATAACCTTACGGTTCTTTTTGGGGATCAGGGACAGTATGTGACATCCGGTCGGCTGTGGGGATGACTTATGATAAGACTGACCTAAGTGAAGGAAATCTGGTATAATTATTACCAGATGTAAAATGTGTTTAGTCGTACTATAGGAGAAGCACAACTACGGGCAAATTATAACAAAAGAAAATATAATCATAAGCCAGTGAGAACTCAAAGTTAAAACAGCCGGGGCAACAAACTAAAAGCGCGGGAAAACGCAGGTGATCAAATCACAATTGGTATTCGTTTGGCGTCCCATTGGCTGAGAAGATGGCCTAAGTTTTCTGGACAAATCACAGAGCAAGATTAAGAAAACCAACTAGTACCGGATCAATTTCGCCGACACTCAATCGAAATTTGGTCTAACCACTTCAAACGATCGTCTTATCTCCAGTTTTACTTATTGTGCGATACCGCAGCCTAATGTCTTGCTTTACTAGCCAGAAAAAAAAAAAAAAAAAAAAATGAAGCGGTGGCGATCTCCCGCTTCGTTTGTGTGAGGGTGTGATTGTGCTTATTCTCAAATGAAGTGTCATTTCGTGGCTTCAACATGAGAAACAAGAAAACTCTTTGAAGTACCTTTGGTTGTTGTTCGTGGGTACGCTCCAATGGTATGAATTCAAAGAACATCGAGCGAGGTGCCAGGAGATAGCAAGATTCCGTTGTTAGTGGCCATAAGTTCACTCCAATCAATCCTTCAGTGGCTCCATATATGGTAGAACACAGTGCCACACCCTTGAGATAGCGCTCCCGTAACTGCATGGCATAAAGTTCAGAGGAACCTTAAAAAGGGAAGAAGATACAACATGTGAATTTTCTCTTTTTTCGATATGCCAAACATGCCGCAAGTCATCCTCCTAGTAGAGAGAAACAGTGCCTTACGAGTGCACCCAGCCTCCTAGCCCCGTTTATACATCCAAGTTTTTGTTTGTGCCCCAAAAAGGCTAGACATTTTCTTTCTAAACCAAGTTGTTTCTCTCTCTCACGGTGGTTTTTTTTTTTTTTTTTTTAATGTTATGCCCCACCCCCTCTGCCAAAAAGCTTTTTTAACTGAGGAGAGGGCACTGTGTGAGGGAGACTGCTACTCTGTGTTTAGTGTAAGTTTTGATGGCTCAACGATGGTCGCAATAACAAAATTTTTTAAGTAGATATCAGTCACATGATGAAAACTGACAGCCTACAAATTCGAAACAGTAGGCAGCAGAGCATGTGACAATATTTTGACCAGAACTTACCCGACATTACCCCATGTACATATGCTAGGTGTGGCCAAATTCTCCTGGCGATTCCATCAAAACCCTTCTGAAACTCCTCTCTTAGTTCATTTGCTCGTTGTTTATCCGGCTTTAGCTTTAAAAGCTTATTTAGCTCTCTTGGAAATAAGAGGCAGACGAAGAAGAAATAATTAGTTATGATCATACAACAAAACAAAAGCAGTCGATATTCTCAAGGAACGTTTCGGTTGAATTCGTAATACTTACGTTCGAACTCCATCTGTTATTTCAAGATCAGCATTGATTTCACCTTTCTCCAAGTCTTGCACCATTAATTTCCAGTTTTTCTCAAGGAAGACGAAAACCCCGTGAATCCAGAACGCAAAGTTGCCTAGAATGGCACCCAGGTCTCTATCTCTTAGTGCAAACAACACGTGAATGTAAAGTCCAGCGGGTTCGGACGGGACGTCAAGGTGCACTCGGGGAGTGGACAGGGCGTGCAGCTGTAAGGAAGGGGCTAAAGTTGAAGGTCCAATGGGAATCCCTCCTTCCGAGTACCTGACTTGAGGAGCGTGGAACAGTTTAAGGGACTTCTGTAAATTATCCGCCTATAGAAATATAAATCATGTTGCAGGTTTTCTGGCAAAGAGGGATCAATCGGTAATGGACGCTCGATATGGAAGTTCAAAATACATGAATTCAATAATTTGCGTGCCGTCAGCCATGCTACTAAATTGCGTGCCCTTGGCTTATTAATTGCTCAGAAGTCGTCACATAACTCATCCAACTTAGTTATGCGGTTGTCAGCTGTAAAATTAGATTTGGAAATGAGATTTTAAATGCGAAGGTAGAGATTAAAATTTTATACATTTCTGTCTACTCCATAATCTCTTAGGACTCGCGTGGCTACCCGCACGTGCATAACCCGTCGCCTTTCGTGTCAATCTTGTGCCCCAGAACCATCTATTGCGCATGACTACTTTCTGTTGCGTTCCAAAATCGAGATTTTGGCCATGAAAGCTAACCACACGGAAAAGGATAATTTCTAAACTGATATGATAAAACTCCATGAAAGCATAGCTAATAGAGGGGACAAGTAACAAGAAAATAATACCGCAAAAAGAGGAAAGTTTTGATTTTCTTTTCATCGTGTGGAGAAATGTTATTATCTGGAGTGATTACTTCTACTCACCTGGGGTAGAACGTTAAACAAAGTGTGATAGAGTCCCACAGAGAATCCGTACTCCACGAATGCTCTGGAGTTGTCTCGTGTCTTGGGAATAAGACAACTTTTTCCTGTTGTCCCGGATGTTACTGCCAACATCCAAGGATCTTGATTGGTCAGTACGTTCGTCTTTCCTTGAGCAATTTCATCTGGGGTGAAAGGAAAGTTGTAAACTCGGTTATAACGTTTGCTTTGATGATTTATGGTAGAGGCTTTTTGATACTCAATAATGAACTCACAGAAGTAAAACATGTTCAGTATAACCCGAGAGTGTATACCACTGAAACAGGGAAGTTTGTTTTGAGTACCAGTGTTTTGATACCCAACGTAGTGATAAGCTTTGTTTAAATAAATCTCAAGTGTTTCCTTCTTGTTATTTTATGTTTACAAAGTATTCTCCTGAGCCCACAGATGCGGAAAACATTCCTTAGACTGTGAAAATTAGCTAGAAGTTAGATTTGGATCTTAGTTGTAAATTCTACTTTTAGTAATAAAGTTAAGGTTCATCGAATATTTAACGAGAAAGAGACATCACGTCTTCTTGTCTATCTCTCCCTTGCCCGTCAAAGCAGTTAAGAAGCAATATAAACAATCGAAATTCTTATCTCTTTCATTCTTGCAAGAATATCTATATATCAAGTGCTGTTGTGAAAAGGTCAAAAAATTTTGGCGTAAATTGTTCGTGAAAAAGAACAGATCAACGAATGACACAAATTTTCTGTATTGACCAGGATTACGCTGTAATTGGCTAAGGGCATGGGTCGCACTTGGCAAAGTTTGGTGTGAATGTGGTCACTTAAATGTAAAATTCTGTCATCGGGGCACATTGTGTAATGCGACCCTAACTTTTCCAGTTAGGAAAAACTTTGAAAACCGGCCAAAACATCAAAGACGCCGCAGTGCTTGGGTGGGGCAGGTAGATTTCGGAAAACTCGGGCTAAACAATAGCTATCACAGCGGTAACTGTCAACACTTGTCAGTAAACAGCAAACGACTCGACTGGTCGCAGAACTGACCAGGCATATGGCGCTCGAAGTAATCTTCGCTGACGTCGATTTCTCGCTCTAATCATAGCGGCAGTCAAAACAAATAAACAGGCGTTAACCCATATTTCATAGATCATACGAAAGACAAAAAAGTGCTCGTGATTTAACTGAATAAGAAGAATAAGCATCACCGTGATCGTTATTAATAATGCTTCAACGGGACGCATTTTGTTTAACGTTTGTTTTCCTGTTTCAGCTCACTGCTCTCTCCCCATAGCACGTCGATAAACGTGTGTCTGGTTTATCAAAGTGTCATCACTGACATTTTTTTCACCTAGTGCGACCCTTTCCGGTTGCGATTTCAAATTTTCTGTGGCTTTTTTGCCGGCAAAGTTGAAAACTTTGCCTAAGTGCGACCCATACCTAATCCGTTTTTCATGGTATAAGTTTCTTAGAACATTTTCCAGAGTTTTGAATTCTCATTTCTGTTACGGGACCAAAAAATCAGTTTGTTTGTCTCTGCTCCAACCAAAATACATTTCTTGAATGTTTCGAATGATCATTTCTTTCTTTTCTTTTTTTGTACATAACTAGCACTAGTAGAAAGCCCCAAGCTTCACCATGTAAAATACTTCTTGCTTGTAAACGCCTTTTGTATTACACCTAGCAAGATAACGCAAATCTACTTTCCATGAACGATCACTGCTGGATAAAATCGGCTTCAAAGTCTTGCGTCCCTAGCTTGGGAGGGATCAATGACATTCATAATATTGCTAATCCTCTCGCGCAAACCCGTATACGGCATAGCTATTACAGTCGTTTCTTGCAGACTGTTCTATTATCACCAAAAATATCGTTAATCAATCTACCTACCCACAAACGCTTTGTAGTGATCATACTTGGTGATGGGATGAACATCAGTAAAATCCCGGCGGCTCGTTATTTCATTGAACTTGAATTCTCTACCATATCTAGTCTTGGAGTTTTTCTTGAGAATGTTTAACAAAAATGTTTCTTGAACTTGGGGAAAACTTTTTGTGTCTTTTTCCAGGCGTCCTCTTGCTCTAGCTCCCAAGAGATACACAAAGCGATTGATAAAGAAGTGGACCAGTAAACTCCGAGCAGAGTGAAATTTGCTCCGACGTTTTTTCCAGATCTGAGCGACAACAGAAAGTAGGAGACCACCGACAAAAATTACAACAAACAGCGAAATATACAACATCATGCTCTGACGTTTAAGTGGTAAATTCCACCTCTGCGTTGAACCGGTATGGCTGTTGAGCTTTCTTCTTTTTTTTTTAAAACGCTTTTTTCAAGCGTCTACTGAGTCACGTTTGCACTTCTGTAGCTCCGGAACTTCTATGACGTGTTAAGTTCATTGAATCAATTTAAGGTGGCTAAAGGTCAAGAGTGCACCCGTTGTGAAGATGCCCAGCAGTTCTCCTTCAAATTAATCGGTATCCAGCCAGCTGGCGGGTGTTACGAAAACTAAAAAATGTCTACAAAGTCGAATTACGACCGTGGACATGAAATTAAGAACCCACAGAAAGCTCATATTCGATCAATCGAGCAAAAACACTGTTGTACTACCAATATGGGGGAGCACTAACATCAATTTTATCTGTTTCCGAACAAAGGAGTTAATACATATGATGTACGATCCTCGCAGTAGATAGCGCTATCGAAGCAATAGCGAAAATCAGACCTGAAAAAAAAATCAGGCCTGTACGGGATTCGAACCACTGACCTCTGCGATACTAGTGCAGCGCTCTACCAATTGAGCTAACAAGCCAACTGGTATATATTTCGTTGTATGCTCATCGTGCATCATGTGTATCTAATACCGCAGTTCAAAATATTTGAAGTTCATATATTTCGTTGTATTTAAAGGAGTTAATCACCGACACCGGAAATCGCCATCAGGTATTCCTTGCGACACCCCAAAGTTTGTTTTCCAATTTGTCCTGGCCGTTGTCGATCACTTCTTGCGTAAAAACTTACGAAACCTGTGAAGTGGAACTAGGGTGGCTACTGTTGCTTGCGATATTATCCGTCGGCAAAACGTAGAAGTCAGTAAATGTGACCGATTCTGCCAGGAAAATTTTATTGTCTGGGGCTTGGACTTGTCAGGAGAGTTTCCTTGACAGCTGGATTACAACCCATGTTGTGAAACCATATGTGAAGACATCACGTTTTTTTCTTCGCTTTTCTGTCACATTGTCACATTTCTTCGCTTCGTGGTGTTACAGTAACACGAAAAATCTAACCGGATTTATTATCGAATAGGAGCTCTCTGTGGGCTCTTGATTTAATGTCAACGTGCAACCGCCTAAACCCATCCTCGGAGACCCAGGGGCTGAGTCGATTTCAAGTAAGGGCATGAAGAGCCCCTGGGGACATTGTCTTACAAGACTAGTTCCAAACGGTCGCAGTCGTTCTGCCATCTTATTGGTGCCAGAAAATCTTTGTGTTTTTCTGCCCAATCAGAGTGAAGTGTGCTTTAGAGTCCTTTCGTGTGTTTTAACACGGACATATACTAGTAGCTCAGTTGCACGC